AAAAAATTAAAACTAATAAATTGAAAAATCTCATTAAATATATTAAATGTACAAATTTTAAAATTTTTTTTATAAATATATTTTTTTAAATAGACATTTTTAGTAAAAATATTATAAAAAATTTTACCATTAAATAAGTATTAATCAAATTTAAATTATAAAATAATATTTTTATTTTTTTATATATTATTAATTTTCACATTTAATTCTATCAATTTATCAATTTGGATTTTTTATTAAAGCTTTTATTAAATCATTTTTTTTAAAAAATTTTTATGAACTTAGAAAACTTTATATAAATTTTGTGCATAGGATGAAGGCAAATGAAAATTAAGGGTTATAAGCTTTCAAAACGATGCAATTTTGTAGGGTGAAAAAAATTATTTTAATTCCATATATGCATCACATCAGCAAAAAAAGTTACATGTCAGCATCAAGTGTGCATTTGTTAGCATAATTAACCCTAAAAGAACAAAAAAAATTGAACTGGCTAAAATTTTAAACCAGCAGGAACATGATGTTACAATTACAACATTAACCTTAACGTGCTAAAAATGCTTGAATTCATTGCAATTTCACTAACACCATCATTATCACTCGTATTTGCTACCTGATCAAGGGGTAGTTTCAGAATTAGCGCCCGCAGCATCTAATGTAGTCCCAAATGCTTCGAACCCTTTCACGACCTTAATGCTATAACGCAACAGATAAACAACATTACCGAATAGTTTTGGTTCGATTTTCTATCTTGTAAACCATAACTTTATCACCAACACCGAGATCTTTAGCTTTAACAAAATCTAGCCAACCTTTGGAAAACATTGGCTTTGGATACTTGCCGGTCTTGCGAATTGAGCCAGAGATTTAAAAAATAGTGGAGTAACAGAATAGTAGCGGCTATTTTGTGATAATGCTGATATTCATCACAATTATTGAAAAAAATCAAATGAGAATGCCATTTACAATGATAATGGCACGTCATGGCTACAAAAAATGGCCAACAGTAAATAGCAACAAAAGCGGACCATATTGTCATAACTTTTATTTTTTGTCCAAAGAAAAAAAAATCTTAATTTTCATTTGCAAAAAGCCAAAAAACAAAAAAAAATAACTTCAATCAAATTCAAAATCTATATTAAGATCAAGCACGAGCAAATAAAGAGGTGAAGTTTCAAGTTTGAAAAAGAAAAAAAAATACGTTGCTCAAGGGGAAAAAGGAAGAAAAAGGAAAAGAGTAAGGTTATTTCGAGTTGGACAATGAGTGAAGCAGCAGCAAGCAATGGTTGAAACTGAAGGTGGCATCTCGGGTTAGAAAGGAGGAAGAGGGCACTGCTGGTGAGAAAAGAAAGAAAGAAGAGAATAAAAATGGATTACGGATTTACTAGGAACTAAATGGCATAGTTTGAAGGTTAAGGACAAAAAAATGACAAAAGAGGGTTTAGACCATACCCATACCATGTTTTGACCCAAAAGTTGGCAACGTATTTGATTTTTAGGCTTGTTGGATTCATGATTATAGGTCTTAACATCAAAACTTAATTGAATATAATTTTTATATTTTTTTTTTATTTGTAATTTGTTCATTTTTAATTCATAAATATAAAAATTTATAAATAAAGAGATACATTATTAATAACTAAATAAATATAAAGCTGTTTGGAGTATGAAGAACCCTTATAATGACAAAAAATTATGAATATTATTTTTTTCATATAAATAAAAAAACAAAAAATTACTTTAAAAATTATTAAAAATTTTTTTTATGATTATAATTATAATCATTATATTTTATAATAAATTATATAAAATTAAAAAAAGTTCACGATCGCAATGAACACAATAACTGTGATAACAACCGTTACGTTTGTAACTGCGATAAATATAATACAATCGAAAACAAAATCACTACCGTAATTTAAATCTCTGAATTGAGCCAACCAATTTCCACATTTTCCCATCATCATCATCCCAAACTTCCAACTCAATTTCATTGCCTCCGTCTTCAAAAGGAGGAAAAAAGGAAAGGCTCTCTGTTGGAATAGCCAATCTTTTGGATATATCCGTCTGAGTGAAACGCTTTGAGAATATATCGATCTTCTCTTCTTTAAAATCTTTTCCTTTCAATTTCTTTCTTTTTGTTTCTGTATTGATTCTGCGTGCATGGAAATATGCAACGCAAAATGGGTTTTTTTAGAGGAGAAAGGAAAGGAATTTTGTGTTACGCAACGTCGATACATGAAGGAAATTACGCATGAATTGTTATAACATTATTACATGACAGTGACTTTTGTTTCAACTACCAACAGCCGTGTTTCTTTGTAAAGACAGTGTGGGCCAAAGAGACTTTTAGAGTGAATGTAGTATGACGCAGGCAAAAGAAAATTAGGGCTCTTTAGGTTTTACAAGCTTCCACGAAACGTAATTTTTGCATAGGGAAGAAAAAAATATTTTTTTAAACAAAACAAAAATCATAGTTTAAAATTTAAAAAACGACTACAACCGTACACTATATCAACGAAAACTCAACATCGTGCATGCAACATGTCCACGTTATTACCGAATATTAGAAATAATATTACTTTTTTTTTGTCTTTTATCGCTCTTAATTTAAAAACATAGATATAAAATTACTTAAAATTAAAATAAAAACCTAAATTACTCTTTATCTTATATCAAAAAGAATTGTTAAAAGTTATAATAATTTATATATTTATATTTATTTATTTTATGTCAAACACATATAAAATATAAAAATTATTATATCATAATTTGTATTAATACATTAAATATGAAATATATATTTTTATTTTAATTAAACTTGTATATGATATTTTTCTCAAAATTTTATTTTTACTAAACTTATATATGTTAAACATAAAATATATTTTAATTTTTACTAAATTTATATATGAATATTTTTACAAAAATTTTAAATCATATCATTTTTATTTTTTATATTATTTTAATATCATATTTAAAATTATCAAATCTATTTAACAGTTATTTTGTATTCTCCAAAATTGAGTTGTTTAAAGTTTTCAATTAGGAACAAAATATTATTATTACAAACAAAAGTAATAAAATATTATAACATGAAAGTGATCCTTTTTCTTTTAAAAATAAAGTTATTATAACAATCTTGTTGTTTGGTGAATGTTTAGCATGTTTTTTGTAAAAAATTATCTTTGTTTTGTTCTCTTTCGAATATATTTAACGAGTCATCATCCGAGGAATTGGGCATAAACAAGCTTTTTTTTTGTTAAATTATTTTTAATAAAGAATTTCATAATAATTTCATCTATATTATATACATGAAACACAAATAATTAGTATAGCACGCTTCACAATCTCATAAATTTTTCTACTATCATACCCCACAACTAAGAAGCTTGAAAGCATTATTGGAAGAGAAATGAGAGTTTTCATGAAAGAGTTTAGAAGAAAAAATTAAGAAAAGTTGAATGTATGATAAAAAAAAAGGGGGGGAAGAGGCTACAAAATTAACTTTTATAACGTGCAAAAGACACCAAGAGAAGGATCCAGGGAACTTCAATGGAAAAGTAGAGAAAAATGGAAACTAAAGAATGATCATAATTTTTTTTTTTTTTTAATTCTCAACCAAAAGAAATTTTTATAACGAAAAGTCAAGATATTAGAAATTAAGCTAATAAGTCCAAATACCATTATTATATGGATTCGGAGCTTAATGAAAACGAAATTTAATAATTTTTTATTTTTAAATTGTAATTTTTTTCTAAAAAAAAAATCATCATTATATCATTAAGGCACGAGCAAAAGCTAAAAAAAAAATCATAAAATTAATAATTAGGTAAAAACTATATCTCAAATGAACTAAGATTATTAAGAACTTGATATGAACATATAACAAATAATTACACCTTACTTTTAAAAGAACAAAGCATTTCAAATTTAAATTAATCTTCTATTTCCCCAATTTAATCATAAAAGCATTCTGAAGTCTAAAAAATGATACTACACTAAAAGTATTCCATTGGCATATAGTAGTATACCATAATATATAACAGTCACTCCAATATTTCTTTTCTTTGGAAATATAATTAATTAAGCTTGTAATTTTCTTTTCTAAAAAATATGTAAATTTTTACTACTTAGGAAAAGATCATTGACTTGTAACCTCAATTAGAAAATATGAGTGAATTTTAATAATGAATGATCATATATATTATGCATTTGAGATTTAATTTAATTAATTCATATAATTACCTTAAAAAATTGTATTTAACAAGTTTAAAAAACGAATCCCAACATCTTTAAATTTTTTTATCCTTAAGCTACAGCTTCTTTTATAAAATAATAATAATAAGAGGAAAATTTTGTAATTTAAGACGCCATATTTTATTAAGCAACCCAATCGTACAAAGAAATTGCCTTCTAGAAATCGCATTGACATGGGTAATAAATCACTAGATTTTAATACTTACTTTAATTTTCTTTAATCACTTGAAACATATTTATTGAATAAAAGAATCTAAAATTTTAACACAGAAGGAAAAAGAAATATTCTAGCTTTTTATGAATCATGCCTTTTTGTCTTTGATTCATGATTCCCCCTTTATGTCTCATTATTGCTCCTAGACATTGCTAATTACTGTCTCACCGTTGTTCATGAGATATCAACAAGAAGCCTTGAATGTTTAATTACTTAAGTTAACAAATTAAATATTAATGCTCTATTATCCTGGAAGGAAAAAAACCTACGTGTCTCACATTTTTCATATGGTCTAAGTATAAAAATTCTCAAAAATAAATAAATAAATAAAACACAAGCATTATGTAGAAATTAAGCAGTCAAAGTTCCTTAAAGTTAAGGATACATGTCTGAAACGACATAACTTAAACCACACAAATTAACCTTAACGAGCAATGTCTTAACCTTGTCTTTACTCCTTCATTTTCTCGCTAAATTAATACTTTGATCCAAATTAAGAAAAGTTTTTACAATTTTCAGCAGCTGGTAATTAGAGATTTCCTTGAGAGATCATCTCGAGCAAATCCAGCTCCTTTTTCATGTAATTCATTTCCAGGGGAATCTCGATTTCCATGGCATTGCTCTCTTCTTCAACAACAGAGCTACAGGGATTAACTTCTTCAAGCATCGATCCGAAGCTAGCAGTGCAACTTTGATGATCACAAAAAACATTCGCTAATTCGAAAGAGAAATATTTCATGGGCTGATGGTGATGGTCAGTTGCTTGATCATTACGAACTACAACCTGCCAATCTGTTGGATTGAAATCTGAGGTTTCAGGATTAGTTTCCAATAGTACCCTTTTCCCTTTGTACTTTCGCGTTGAGGTTGGACTCACTGATTTGATGTAGTTTTGCAAAAGAGAGCCTTTGGGATTGGAGTCTTTGCCTTTGCGCCTTGAGTATTGCCTTCGCTTGGTTGCATTCCAATGGTTCTTTATAGTGTTCTCGGTGCGGCCAGGGAGTCTCCTGGCTATCTCAGCCCACTTGTTTCCTATTTCTTTATGTGCTTGAATCAGTATCCTATCTTCATCTTCACTCCATGAATCCTTCTGCAAAAACAACAAGTCATATAGTTTTGTGCCAAAAATCAATATCGAAGAAAAATTCTTGAATCCCAATAAGTTTTTTTTTTTTTGTCGTTTATATATATAAAATTAGGCATAGTTTGTTCATGATAACTCCAATAAGGAAAACGCATGTCCAATGACATTCATGGTTTTAATGCATGAGATTTCATTTTTGATCCAACATTTTTTTTTTAACAAAAGTTGAAATTTAAAATCATCTCTTGCTCATTTTGGTTCAAATGAAAAAAAAAAATTTTATAAGAAAATTGTAACAGAATTGAGGTATAATTACTCATACTGTCTTCAAAAACACCTATATGGATATTTCTATCATTTTAGAAGCAAAACTGATAATTTAACTGTTAATGTTTATGATTTTACAATTTATTATGATGATAAGATCTATTTAACTAAAATGTTGGTCTAACCTAGCACTTGTCAACACACATGACAATGCATTATCATGCATATAATGACAAGTGATTGACAAAGTAAGTTTTTAGATACTTCATAAAACGCGTCAATAAAGTTATAACAATAACAAAAATCTGACGTAATAATTTCCATTCATCGATCTACGCAATTCAATAAAGAAATTCTATAATTAAAATTCTCATAATCAAACAAATAAGTGAAAATATATAACTAATCCATGCATGCATATAATGTATGGATATAACTATGCGTATGTATGCATGAATGTATGTATGTATGTATGACAAACAACTGTACATGCATATTCATATGTATATAGTCTTTATCTAAGACATAAACATATATATATATATACACATACATATAGTATATATATACATACATACATACATAAATGATCATGCATGTATATGTATGGTTAATGTCTTTATGGGAGGTAAAGAAGGAAAGGAAAGGGAAAAAAAAAGGTAAAAAAATAAACCTTAATATCAGGCCTTAGATGGTTATGCCATCTCTCTCTACATTGCTTTCCTACTCTCCCATTTAGCATCATTGCAATTTGAGACCATTTCTTTGTTCCATGCCTTTTTACCAACTGCACTAGCAATCTACAAAAACAGATGATAATTTACATAATTAGATCTTCATATAAGTTGAATGGCTTAAAACAAACAAACCCAAAACCCTAATCAAGCAAAAACTGAAAAAATATAACAAATTGAACAAAAATTTTGCTGTTATACCTGTCCTCTTGAGGAGTCCATTGGCCTTTGATTATATTAGTTTTCTTAAGAGCTTTGCTACCTGATCTTCTGGATTGGAAGAACCTTTTGTTCTTCTTCTGATCAACTTTGTCTTGAAGGCCATTATTTTGATCTGCTGTGACACATGAGACTTCATCAGCCAACTTAGCAGTCACCGGTGGCTGTTGATCTTGAAAGTTCAGAGGCTGATGATGATAAATCTGATCAATTTCAGTCAAGGGTTGAGCTGGAGCTTTATTCTGAGAAAAATCCCAGCAGCCTTCAGTCTGAAAACCCTGGAAAAGGCCATCCTTTACAGTACTACTTTCTGGTGCAAAAGGCAAGGAAGGGATATAAGCATTAAGATCATTTGAAAACCCATTGGCGAAAGGCTCGAAAGGATTGGTGCATGTCGAGGAAACCCCAAGAAAAGGATTCTTTGAGGACCCATCAATGAAAAATTGATGAAAATGGTGAGGATTCAAGAAAGAAGCGTTGTTAACATTGGGAGTTAAGTGATGGTTTTGGTCATGAAGGATAAAGTTTTCAAGCAAACCTTTGGAAGAAGAAGAACCATCAACCAAGGGAAAAAAACCATTTCCAAAGTCAGGTTTGAAGGAAGAAGAATTGTTATTAGACAAAAGGCTTGAAAGTAAAGGGAAATCATCTCTAAAGCTTGTATCAAACTCCATGCAGTAGAAGAAGAGAAAAGAGAAGCTCAAGAAAAAGGAACGGTGGTTTAAACTTTTTTTTCCCCAAAAAAAAGTTTATAAATGGTTTTTAAAGGATTAAATCAAATTTCTGTGGGCTTTTTTTTTCTTTATAGGAGAAATAAATTATATAAAAAACAGGGTTTGAAGATATACTTGGCAATGTCTTAGGTAATTGATGAAATGAGAAGCCAATGGTTAATATTGAAAGTTGATTGTGACTGTTAAGCTTCCAAGTTTAAGCATTGCAAAGGGCAAAAAGACCCAAATTAATCATTAGTTCGTTATAAAGATTTGTTGTTCATGGAAATTTCTTGGGCAAATTGAAACAAGACGTGGGAGACATGGAGAGGCCCTTGGTTCTTTTCAAGCCAAAAAAAAAAAAAGCCCTAAACCCAACTTTTTTTTTTTTTGTTTATCTTCAATTTTTCATGTTAAATTTAGAGCATCAAAAGCAAGATTATTACAAAATTTTAAGACCAATCAAACGCTTGTGATTTATGAAAAAGGAAAAAGGATTTTAATTAACGGTTGTGTGAATTGTTGATAAATAGAGTGTTGAATTCTTAATTTTAATAATTAAAATTTAATTTTTAAAGAATTAAAGTATAAAATAGGATTTTGCTAAAAGAAATAAAATGAAGAGAGTTAGGCTATTTTAAAGGTGTGCTTGCATGCATTTTGATTTTGATTTTGTCTTTAATACCCTTTTATTTAAAGAATTATAGCTTTAAATGCTATTTTCAAAAGCAAAAAAACTAAGAAGAAAGAAGAGATAAAGAAATAGGTAAAACTTTAGTCAAATCTGCCATTAACAGTAATTTCAAGCTTTTAATATATTTGGGACATCAAATGAAAATATTGCATTATTTGTAGCTATTCTTGAATTTCCTTCATTTAAAAAAAATTAAATTTATGAACTTTGAAACTAAAACAACTATATATAATACAAATTAAAAACTAAGATATGATCTTTTTTCATAAACATTTTTGTTAATATACATAAATTTGCATGAATTTGTTCATAAATATAGGTAGGAGACAAGGAGTTGGTAAACAAAAAACATTGTGTTCTCTTTTTTTTTTTTTTTGTCTGAAAAGGGTAGTAAAGTAATTTAAATTCAGGTTTTTTGAAACCATAAATTTTGTCCTTTTTAAGGGAATTATGAAATAAGTAAATGGGGAAGGTTGGTTTTGAAGACCATGATGACTAATGAAATTTGCAATGTGTTCAGGATTAACACTAAAACCACTTTGTCTTTGTAACTGAAAATTTAATGCTTTTCCATTTTGAGCCCTCATAAATGACCCCCATTAAATTTCTATTTAATTCGAGTCAAACTTTTGTTGAAGAAAAAAAATTAAAAAAATGCATTTATTTTTGTATAAAAAATTTATAACTTGAGAATCAGATGAAAAATTGTAATTTGAATATCAAATTTATTGAATTTTATCTTTATAATGTTATATTCCGACTTATAAATTTTGCTTGTTTCAATGCCAGACTTGGGTCGTTGAAATGTATTAATAACCCAAAAAATGTTAATTAAAGTACAAATTTTAATTGAATTCACCATAGTTTTAATAACAATAAAGCCTAGCTTTTAATGTATTCCTTTTATAAATACATAAAATAAATTCATTTTTGAAAGTAAAAAATTTTTGGGTAATTTAATATCTCTTTATCTACATTATTATTGTAGCATTAATCCAATAATTATTGTAATTAGGACGCACCATAATTTAATTTTCAATATGTATCATTTATATGTTTTTCAACTATATATTTAATTTCTTTCTCTATTGTAATATTCTAGCACCTTATTTATATTAATTAAGCAACATTTTTTTAAAAATTGACAATTATCTGCCATAACTAGCAAAATTGAAAATATTAATGAAGCCAAAAAAAAAAAAAAAGATATGTCCAAAAATCATTGGGCCAGAATCAGATTCGAACAACTTCTGTTTTGAATTGTCACGACTTTTGTATGGGAAGAGGTTGTGTTTTGTTTCAGAAAATTAACGATGTTTTAAGCATATAAATTAATAAACCAATGGTTTAACCCAAAATGGCTCCAGTCTTGAGCACCGATTAACACCCAAATGACCCAAGAAAAGTAATATGATTAGGGCCAGTTCATGATCATTTTGAATATAATAAAAAACTTGAGATTTATTTTTTGAAATAGTTTTTTTATTAGATTTTTTTTATTAATTGAAATTTAATTATGGAAATTAAAAATTTATTACTCTATTATTAAAAATTGAAATTTGATATTTACTTATTAAAACATTTAATTAGTTATTTCTAAACGTTTAGCTAATTGAACTTTTTTTAATTATAGAGTTAAAATTTAAATCGTATTAAAGGAATAAAACTTCTTAAAATTTTGCTTGGTTGCAGCTTTATTTATTATTTATTTTTCCTTTTTTAAAATGGCAAGGATGAAACTCTGCCAATCTTCGAGTCAAAATCGTATCATAAACATTCATACAAGCGATAGTTATTTTATAATTACTATTATTTTTGCTTACAAAATGGAGAAATCCATGTGGGGCTAAGGTCAATATTGTGATAATCTCGACCCAATTCATCACATCTCATATATGTTTGAAAGAAAATTAGTTCATCATCACATCTCATATATGTTTCGATTTCATGCATCGTTAATTTTTAGACACCATAAGTAAAATTAACAAGTGGTACATATCTTAAAATATATAAAACAAAACTTAATTTAAATAATTTAAATAACAAGTAATAGCAAACATTTGAATCAATTTACTTTAAATTGTATTTTTGCAGCAGTTCGAGGTATCAAATGTGCCATGCTAAATTGATATAATTCATTTAAATATTAACCCGTATATTAATGGATTGTGCTGATCTAATATTATGTTTTAACATGTCTTGTTGACATGATTCATAAAAATTAAAGATATGGTTCAACATGACACATGACCCATAACTTTTATGATGTGTATCGTATTAGATACATTTATTTTACATATTATTATTAAAAATAATGTACAAAACATAAAATCAAGTAAAAATTACACGAATTATGTAATTCAACAAAATTATACCTACATCTATGAAAAAAATATAAAATTTACTAAATAAAAATATTAAAATTACAATCCTAATATTTAAAAGAAGCCAAGTAAAGTTACAAGAATATTTTACCCTAACTGTGGCGCGAATTTCCTGTCCTGTAGCACAGATATCATCCACCTCCACTAGGTCCGACCTCCATAAGAGCTAAATCCGTCCCTTATAACCCAAAGTCACTGTGTCTTTCGAAGTATCAAAGGAGAGTCCGTCAATGATGTGTCTGACATCTTCCCCACGGGCTCGCATCTCTGTCACAATCATGATCTCCGGCCCATGGATATTTACAAGCTCCCTAGCCGTTCTGACAAACTCCGGATGCCTAGCACCCTTGCAATTCCATAGCAGTATCACATGATCTGAAGGTGGTTTGATTAGTGGTTCACAGATAACTTCTGAAATTGTGGCATAAATAGCTCATTTCTCGGGGTCCAGCCTTGTTTCCACATCAACATTCTTGGCCACATCTCTACCTTATGGATTAGGGTTCCTATTCCTAGCAGCATGGACGTGCTGACGCAAACGTGAACCTAGCTTGCTCTCAGATTGCTTTGAACCTTCATCATCAACATTTGAGTGGAGTTCCGCCTGATCTCCGGAGGGTAGTTTGCCAATTGTAGTTCTTGGATTGTAAGTATCTATGGTGGAGGGTTCTCCCTTACCTCTGTACAAGATAGCACGTGATATTGTGCTAAGCTTGATTCCTCTAAAGTTAGCAACGATGGTGGATAGTATATCGGGGGGTAATTTGCTTTTCCATCTCGATCTCGTTCTCTGCCACTTCCTTTAATCGGTCTTTTTCCCCTTTCCCTGGGGGAGACTGACCTCTTGAATCTTTCTCTGATGGATTCTGAGTTCTGAAGACAAAAACCCTGCTCCCTAGTCCCGAATGAGAATTTTGAGGATCCATGTTCCACATTTGGTTGATCGTGGGAGGGGCCGTAGATTGGTTGTCCCATAGCTGGGTATTGTTTTGAAAATTATTTTTTGCCCAACATTAAAAAAAAGAAAGAAGATAATTTTCGTGTTTTACCTCATGTTTTTTTGTTGATCGAGAGTTATTTTTTGTTGATTTTATTAATTTCAATCATTCAAATAATGGAATAAATTTTTCTAATCATTTTCATAATTATCGAACGGAATCGAATTGAAATGGTATAAGAATACTAAATGATTAAAAGATGATTTTGTAATCCCAACTCGAATAATTAAAAGAAAAATTAAAATCTCTTGGTTGTTGAAAATCTATTTCACTTTAACCATAACAAATAATTTTTTGAAGTTAACCATAACAAATAATTAACCTTTTATTTCGTTTTAATAAATAAAATATTAAAGATAAATTAAAAATCAAAGGGTTAGATTTTGAAGTACAACAAAGAATTGTTAGGAAATAAATTCAAGAATGAAATAATAATAATAATAATATTTTATATTGGTTGATACAACAATGAATAAAAATATTTCTCAAAGCAAACACGCCCTCACATTACCGACAACAACAATTAGTATTGGCTGCTTTACCTTACTTTTTTATGTCTTGTGCTACATTCTTACATCTCTGCCTTTGAAAAAAAAGCAGGTATAAGATGTAAATTAATAAAAATGTTGAGTTTTTTTCCAACTTCAATTAAATATTTATGCAATTTTTAATTTACTCTTAACCCCTCTACTTTATTTATTTATTTCATTTGGAAAAATACTGTAAATTAATAAAAATGCTGAGTTGGTTTCTAACTTTCATTAAAATATTTATGCAATTTTTAATTTACTCTTACACTCTTTAAATTTATATCATTTGAAAAGAAATTAGGCGTCTAATTCCTTGTTTGAAAAGGAATTATGCATTTAATTTCTCTCAAACTCGTAACTTTAAAAAATTTAAATAATCATGTATGTTATCTAAACTAATACTCAGTATTCATCGTTCTTGGCAAATGCAATATATGTTGCAACACTGTACAAGTTAGAGGAATACATACCAACATGATAAATTGCCGAGTTCAGCAAAATAAGCTTGAAATAGCAAAGAAAAAGAGCTCCAAATAGATGGGATTTACCCTCAAACTTCGGAATACATTTCATATAGGATGAAGCATTTTGAAACTATCATACCCATAATTAAGGCATTCCTCATAGTTAGAAGCTCCAGCTCGGTATCAAGGTCACAATCGATATCATCACTATCATCAATAGCATCACTAGCATCAATATCGCCATTATATCTCAAAGAAAGTAAAAAAAAAAAAGACAATGAGGATGGATAAATGTGTGCGTGGATGGATGGAACCTGTTAAGAAGCTATGAAGAAAAACTGTTTAATATGAACCTCAAAGTTTAAAATCAAATGAGAACAAAATACCGATCAAAGTTTTGATTAATTTCTGTTTAATATGAACCTGACATGATTTTCTAGGCGTTCATGATTTTCCAAAACCAAAACCAGCTTTCTTCCTTTTCTGGGTTTCTACCTTTTCAGGACTGGTGAGTCCAGTCTTATCCTCGTATTTCTTTTCTAAGGCCTGCAAATTAGATCATAGAGTCCATCACATATCAACCAAAAGGAGTGAAATTCAATGTTTATTAATGATATACTCTCCAATAGTAACAGAACTACCAATCCAAGAAAGAAGGTTAATCTTCAGGGTCATGTTCCGTGAGATTAAGATTATACAGAAAGTCGTACTAACCTCTAGTTGTGAGCGAATACTGTCAAGAACTTCGTCAGTCATTCTGTCAAAAAACAGAATCCCCTGCAAATTCAAGAGCCATAGTCGCGAAAGGAATTTAGTAATATGTCACAATTTGATTTTGAAATAACATATTAGAGTTAGAGAACAAAAAGAGTCTCTCTTGGAAGCTCCTTTCCTACTTGTTTAACCATAAACAAAGCCTATAACATTACTATTTTAAGAGGAAATAAGACTTAAAAAGGCATCATTAGCGCATTCAGTTTTGACCTACATAGCATATATAACCCACCTATAGTTTCCTGAGCCACATGCAGTGTTAACAAAATGGAACCATTTGAACTTAAAATGGAAATAGGTTTTTGGCATGCCTTTAACCCTATAGCATTCGGGAACAGAGGTTGGCTAATATAGAGATTTGGGACTAAGGCCCCTGTACTCAAAAGTCAAAAGAAACAAAAGACAGCAAGAACGCAATTAACAGCCGCATCTTAGGTTATTCATGTTCGACAAATTCTACTTAAAACAGAAAGGAAACTCCTACACTACAAGAAAACACCTACGTGGCATTTAGTTCTCTGCATGGAATTCTTACTTCCAACAAACTAACATCTCCCTACTACCATGCAGCCTAAAGTTCAACAGTCAACATTCAATATATATATATATATATAAAATCTAAAACTGCACAAAATCTAGCTCCTTACACTAGCAATTGACAAACTGACAACAATATATTACAATTATACAGAAGAAAGAACCTGAAGATGGTCAAATTCATGCTGAAAAACCCGTGCCGGAAGCCCTGAGAAATCAACTGTAGACCTCACACCATTAATATCTTGTGCATCAATCTTTACAGATTCTGGCCTCTGAAAGCAAAATTCAATAGAAGTAAAGGATAAGTAAGCGAGTAAAAGAGACAATGCACCATGTAGAATTACACATGAAACAAAACAAGAGAGTAAAAGGATAGAATCAGTTGATGCAATTACCTTAACATCAGCATAGATTCTCGGAAAAGATAAGCAACCTTCATTAACCAGTAATGTCTTCTTTGAATATTTCATAACTCTCGGATTTACAAGGACGATTTCTTGTCCTTCACCTCGCTCGCCAACAGGATTAAACACCATCAATTGAACATTAATTCCTACTTGGGGAGCAGAGAGACCAATGCCATCAGTTCTGTTACAAAAAGATGCCAACAAATTTCACACTCCTCTAAAATTACATAAATTCTTCATAAACTGTTAAAACAAAAAACTGAAAATCTGGAATTATTGTTTCTGCCAAATTTGGAATTTTGAGAAAAGGCTTCAACGCATGTAACTGTGCCACTTTTCTTAAGGTTTGATTCGCCTCCACCATATTATTTATTTAGGAGATGTGTAAAAGGATTACAACGATAAACTTGAAGGATACAATGAAACCTAATGACTGATTATATTTTGCACTAACAGTGTGTTTGGATTGAAGGGAGAGAAAAGAAAGGAATGTAAAGGAGACAAAAACCCCCTTCCCTTGTTTGGATAAATTTTTAATTTAAGAAAAGGGAAAGAGGTGAAAACCAAATAACCTTTGATTTCCCTTATAAATTCAATTTTTTTAATATCCCAATTTGGAGGAAAAGCTAGGGAAATGAAAGTTGAAAAAAAAAAATTTTTTATAAAAAGATTATTATGTCCATCTTTTTATTAATACTAAAAACCTAATAAAAAAACCTAAGCAGATCACAATTATCCCATAATTTTATCAAAGCCATATCTTTTTTCAAGTAAATTTCATATATTTCTTCCAATATAAAAACTTTTTATAATTTTTTGATGATTTGATTTTAATGAATGATTGAATATGAATAAATATATTTTTTGGGTTTATGAGATGGCGGACTAGCTCAAAGTCCATCAATGCATATTTGTAAAATATCTTCTTTTTTCACTTGATTAAAAACCATTGATATAACAGCAATTGTGAGGCCAGACAAGATAGCAAACATATCATGATCCAAGAGTGTTATAAAATCACAGGCAATGAAAGGTTATAATTGAAAAAAATTATTATAATGAATCATTTCTTTTCTTTTTCACTCTTTTATCCAAACAATGGTTGTTAGAATTCTTTTCCTTTCCTTTCCTTTATTAATTTTAATTATCCAAACAAGGGTTACATGTATCCTTTCCTTTCATTTAAAAAACTTTCTTTTCCATTCTTTTCTTTTCCTTTCATTTCCTTTCCTTTATTAATATTTATCCAAACATAACGTAAAGAAATCAGTCCACTAATCATTCACCTGTGTATTACAAGATCACTAAACTTTTATAAGATAACGTTTGGTTCGCGAAATCTTAGATTCCCCATGCGATACCCAGGTTTTCTTTCATTTTTAGGACATCTCATGTTCAGATTCACTCGTTTAGTTGTGAGGAATCCACATATATTAATTCTTGAATTATCATAATCTTCTTGACATATATAATAGCAACTTTTTATTAGCTTTTATTAATAATAAATACCCAAACGACAAATGATTTCTTTAACAACAAAAGAAGACAAATATTTTATTTAATTATTGTTTTTATTTATAAAATATCATCAATAAAAAAATATTGAAGATTATTTAAGGCATTTTTGATTGAAAAACGCCTTAAATAATCATTTTTATTTTTTTAAAATAGATTATTTAATGCGTTTTTGGTCCAAAAACACCTTAAATAATCTCCAATATTTTTTTAAAGAGGATTATTTAAGGCCTTAAATAATATACTTCAAAAAATTGAAAGTTATTATTTAAGTCATTTTTAACTAAAAACGCCTTCAATAATCTATTTAATTAGTTATAAGATTTAAGAGATAAAATATAAAAAAATAGAGTAATTTTGTTTATTAAAGCATATGATTATTAATCATAAGATTTTAGGTTTGACCTGTCCTTCTAGAGCTTATTTTTGGGGATTGTTATAAGATTTTTTTTTAATGCTTTAAATAATCCCATGAAAAATTGACTAGCATTATTTAAGGCATTTTCTTGCAAAAAAAATCTTAAATAATCCAAAAAAAAATTGAGAAGGATTTTTTTAAGGGATTATTTAAAGTATTTTTTTAGTAAAAAAACGCCTTAAATAATCTCGTAAAAAAATTGACCAGAGTTATTTGAGGTACTTTCTTGCAAAAAAACACCTTAAATAATCTTCAAAAAAATTGAGTAAGATTATTTAATACATTTTGCATGTCAAACATCATTAATTGTAATATAAAAAAAAAATTTTAACAACAAAAACCTACAACTGACTTGTAGTCACTTTCAAACAGACTTTTCAAAATGGTAACGGCTATTTTATAATTTTTTATTCAGGTCAAATTTAGAAATAATGTAATTTTCTCCTTCCAGAATCCTAGAATACCACAAGTTGAGGTGGATTTCTGATTTCGAGACTTTCGGTACTATTGAGAATCTATTATTTCCTCATGGAATCGAATTATTTTGAACCAAATGTTGGAATTAAATACCCACCAGTAAGATTCCGAGGGAAAATACATGGATTCCCCCGAGCCAAACGTTTCCTAAAGGTTTTTTGCAGCAAAACTTTTATAAAAGAATTTTAGAGCTTTGAAAAAGGAAGGAGAGTTCCGAGAATTGTTTCTGGGTATTTTTCAGAAAACTAAAGAAGCTTGTATAAACAATTAAATGTCCCTTTATCTTACAAACATAGCTGTCTATTTTAAATAGACAAAAACTATCTATTTTTTAATAATAAAAACTGCCGATTTGAACAGATTTATTTATTTGTTTTGTACAGACTTAACTATCCGTTTTTATCTATCTCTTTGTTTTTGGACAGACATAATTAATCAAGACACTTAATTAAAATTTAAATTAAGATAAAATTATATTTTATTTACTAAACATGTCCAAATGTCAAGAGTCATCAATTAAATAATTAATATTAATATATATTGATTATTTAATTAATGCAAGGCAAATCAAGCTTAAAAATTTAAGCCCATGGTCCATTAGCACCCAACCGCAGTGCACTTCTATTCCTCTTAATTTAAATGATTGACTTATGTGATCTTTTTTTAACGTGGGATTATTTTTCGTAGATTATTTTGAAAATCTCTAACATAAACACCTAATTATTATATTTTTCCTTTATCACCCAATTTCAACTTAGTGGTTAAAACAAATTTAGCCTTCAATTAGGCATTATTTTTGCTACAAATCAAAAGTAAATAGCAAAAAAATAAATAAAATCATCATATCTATATTTTCCTTTTTTATCCTGTGTACGAAACAATTACTATCTTATACATTAAATTAAAACTTACTTGTACATAACGTCGAACATCTCATCGACAAGCTTCTTCAAATTCTCATCAAACGTAGCAATTCGTTTATTTCTCTTCCGCAATATCGGGTCCGGATACTCCACTATTTTCAGCGGCGGCTCGAACCGAAGATCCTCCGCTTCAAAAAGAAAAAAGTTAACTTTAGAACCAAAAATTAAAAAAAAAAACCCCAGTTTTTTACGGCTCTATACTTACTGGAAGCAATTTTGTCGTCTTTGGGAAAAAAACCTCGCTTGGCTTGAACGTGGACCGGAGTTGGCAGAGGATTGGTTTGGTTTACCGAGAAGGTGAACCGTGCGGGTGAAGTAAAACGATTACGCTGGTGAAGGAAGGCGGTGGAGAGAGCGGTTGGGTAGTGGAGAATGGGAACGATAACGCGCGTAAAAGAAGGAGAATGGAGGTGGTGCCAACTCGCGCATGCCATTGAAGATTTTCGGATCGGGAAATGATGAGGAATTTTATTAGTATTTTTTGTGTTCGAAATATATTTGGAATTTTTGCGTTTTAGTCCTTGTACATTCTTAATTTTTCTGATTTTTTCCGTAAGTTTATCTTTATTTTATTTATTCCTTTTTCTCTGAATTTTAAGCTCAGCCAGAGCCAGCGGTTTTTGTCACGACTAAAAAAAGGCATCGTGCTCCAGATCTATATTTTTTAAAATTGATATAAAAAAAATATTTTTGTATTTTTTTATATTTATATAAATAAAATATGTATTATTAATAAATATTAATTGTAATTAATTTTTTTAAGTAAATTAATTCATTAACAAACAATTCCCTTTTGACTGTTTGCAATATAATTTTATTGCCCCTCGGAAACACATAAATTCCCGCAACTGCCCCGGAATAAAAATTAATTCCAAGATAATCCTATCTGGTCAAAACAATAAATAATTAATCTATAAAAAAAAATACATATTTCATATTGAGCTGATTATTTTTAGATGCCACGAATTAAATAGAAGGCCAGAAAAATTAGCGGAGAGGCTCTCAAGAGAAACAGATCAGATCCTCCTTCCAAGCTCTTCATAAAGGTAAACTAAATTAAGTTCCTTTTTCTCAAGTCTGATTTTTCTTTTTCTCAAAAACAGGTTAAATAGATCCATCAAATTATTTGATAAAAGAAATTTGATTTTCAATGATTTATTCGAAGTTTTAATCTTTTTTAACATGTTTTTGCTTAGGGATTAATTTGATACATATGTGTGTTTATATGTTTTTATTTTAATATTTCTGGGTTCATTTCATTGTTTCTGAATTTAGGATTCATTTTATCGGTTTGGTTTTTTTTTTCTTTTTTTGCAGATATCTATTTGATGGTTTTTTTTTTTCTGTAGATTTTTGGGTTGAATAAATTTTGATATTTGCTCTCAAGTTGATGTATTTTGCTTCAAATTTTGTTGGGTTTTGATTCTTATTGGTTTTTTTTTTTTTTTGGGGGGGGGGGGTTTAGTGGTTGATTTGCTGGATTTTTATGTGAATCAGTGTTGTGAGCTAGAAAGAGAAGAAGAGAGATGGGGCTGACATTTACAAAGCTCTTTAGCCGGCTTTTTGCCAAGAAGGAGATGCGTATTTTGATGGTGGGTCTTGATGCAGCTGGTAAAACCACCATCTTGTACAAGCTCAAGCTCGGTGAAATCGTCACCACAATCCCAACCATTGGTGAGTTGTGGCAAAATCACATTTCATTGTAAAAAGAAAATTATATTTTTTATTGTTTTGGAATGGATGGCATGAGAATTCTTTATCTAATTAATTTTGATCCCTTAATTGTAATTGTGAAGCAAAAGAAATGGTTCAAAAGATTTCATTTTGATTTAGAATTCCGGTAGTGAAGCCTGATTTACCGACCTGTTGTATGTGAATGTCATTCCTTGTATATAACTGATGAATGATAGAGTACTTGGTTGTTATGTTATTATTGGTTTGTGAACCATGTAGTTTTATCTTTATTTGGAAGGAAAATGGTTCTAGAGGAATCTAATTTCATATGATATGAAGATTTGAAAGAGAAGTCAGAGTTCCTGCTTGTTTTATGTGAACTTTCAACAGTATGGTTATAGATAATATATTAACTTCATGTCACCTTTTGGTAGATAGGGCTATTAAATACGGTTTTTGAGTTGGTTGAGTTTGGTGAGTTGTTATCTATTCTATATGGTTTTCTGAAAAAAAACTCCAGCAGAGTTACATTCTTTAGGTACTACCATCCAAGAGGTTTATTGATCCTCTTAGTAGATATATAGAGATTATTGTATGGATTGATTTTTCCTAATTAGGTGGCTTTTGGTGGTTTACCAAAGTCTGTAATGTTAAAGGTCAATTCTTACTTTTTTGCAGGATTCAATGTTGAAACTGTGGAATACAAGAATATCAGCTTCACTGTTTGGGATGTTGGTGGTCAGGACAAGGCATGCATCTTAAAAACTAATGAATTCTATGATATACATATGTTAAACTTTTTGCATCCTTTTCATCCCATATTTCCAGCAACATAACAATATCATGATGTTTGGATGATAAATCATGAAGCCTTATTTTCAAGAATGAGGAATGCATATGGATATAACACTCTACCATCTGATAATTTATGATGCCCTGATGATGATTATCATTCAAGAAAAGAATCCTTATTGGCATTTGTGATGATTATATTGGGGGCATAGTCAGCAATGAAGTCATATTCTTGGTGGAAATTCTACATATTTCTATTATGTCGCTTTAAATCTGCATACAGTCACCAACCTACTTTATTTCAAATACAGATCCGTCCTTTGTGGAGGCATTATTTTCAGAACACTCAGGGTCTCATTTTTGTGGTGGATAGCAATGACAGGGACCGTGTTGTTGAGGCAAGGGATGAGTTGCACAGGATGTTGAATGAGGTATATTACCTAGTCAAATAAGGAAAATCCTTTGAAATATTTTTCGTCTTTATCTCACACAGGCAGACACCTGGCACAACTGCACAAGGGCTTAATATGCTAATGATAACATTTTTTTCCAGGATGAATTGAGAGATGCTGTTTTGCTTGTATTTGCTAACAAACAAGATCTTCCCAATGCAATGAATGCTGCTGAAATAACTGATAAGCTTGGTCTTCATTCTCTCCGCCAGCGCCACTGGTAAACATTACCTCTCTTGTTTCCTCTTTTCTACCCACATGTTTTACTCTCTCACCGTTTGTGCAATTTCATCTGATGTGATTTGGTGTCTGTTACAGGTATATCCAGAGCACATGTGCAACTTCTGGAGAAGGCCTTTATGAGGGGCTTGATTGGCTCTCCAACAACATTGCTAGCAAGGCAAGTGCATTAACCTCAAAACCTGAGTAGAAAAAACAGTTCTGTCATTTGACTACAATGGAATGGATAACATAGATCAGATTCGTTTTAGATAAGTCAAAACAAGCTTCCACGTTCGCTTATCCACCTTGTTTTGCTTTCTTTCGCAGGCATGAGGATTGATGTTTTGGTTGTTCGTTGGAATTCTGGTAGCTCCGGAGAGGATAGCCTCCTCCTTGTCCAGGAACCTTTGTAATGACAATGTGTATTAGATGTAATAGGCTCTTTGCTTAACCTCTGCGCCAGCGAATACTTGTAGTTGCAAACGACACTTAATTTACACCAGCCTTTTGGAAATGCGATTTCTTGCTTATTACTGTTTGGCTTTTTATTTCTTTGTTAATCTGATACAGTATCTGATTTTCTATTTCTTCCATGAGCTGCACAGGGGAAGGTTTTCTTCACCCCTGTTTGTATTTTTACTTTCTTTGATGTTCTTATAATAAGGAGATTTTTTACCAAAAAAAAAAATAGTATGGAGATGCTGCTGTAAGAAACATGAAATAATTTTCTTATGCTTACAATTCATGTCGTGTTGGAATCATTTGGCCTTTCAACTCCATGTATCAAGCTTTTAACAAATGGCAAATGAGGTTTGCTCTTGATAATGAATGGTATTATTTATTAATTCAACTTTAATATTTTTTATATGAATAAATTGACTAATCATGAATTTAGTAAATCCAAATTTTTTTGTTTTATAATTTATCTAATAAACAATGAAAAATAGTTGAAATTAAAGTTTACGCTATACAAATAACCTTATAATTTACGAGTTTTGATTTCCATATATAATTCATAATAACGTGATTGAAATTTTTTTTTCATGAAAAAAATACTAAATTATCTAAACATATTTAATCATCTTGCTTTCTCTTGCTTTGGATGGTCAGTCAATCTGTTTGTTACTCCTCTGTTTGTTATAATATGTTACCGAAAAAGATGAAATTTTGTATTAGACTCAACAGGAGGAGCTGACACATTTGTCAAAACTAGAGATCAATATGTCTGCATTTCTGGCTTAATTTTGTTCTATTGTGTGTCCGATAAAATGTAGGCTTTGAAGCTTGAAAATGTTATGTTATTTACGAGATTTAGCAGACGCAAACAGCCTTGTTAATCTGACGCAATATGTTCTGGTGGAAATGTAGTAATTGCTGGTGGTACATTGGGATGGAGTGAGCTGCTTCTTTGGTGATCAATAGGATAATAACGATTTGGTTTGGATCAGAATCAGTTTAATTTTTTCAAATATTATATAGTATTAGAAAAATTTTAAATTTGATCTGAGTCTGAATAAAATATCATTCAATTTGAATCGAAATGAATTAAATTTTATCGATTTAATTTGATTTATTAATTTTAATTTTTTTTAATTTTTATATATTATTTTAATATAAAATTTTAATATATTTGAGTAGATTTTGATATAAAATTATTATTTTTATTATATAAAAATTAAAAATATACATAAAAACTAAAATATATATATATTTCAATTTGATTTTTATTTTTTCGATTTTTCACTTTCTGATTTAAAATTTAATTCGAATCTAATATATATTTAATATCGAAATTTGATCCGAACCAAATAAAAAATAAACAAATCCAAACTAAATAGAATATTATGGCTTTGAATTGATTTTCAGTTTTTTTCGCCCTAATAAAATGAATACAACCATGGTTTTCCCTGAAGTACAATGTAGTGAATGTCCATGGTGCTGTGTTCTTCATTTATCGATCTAACGACTTCGTCTTTTTTTTTTTTTTTTTGGAGCATTGTAGTACCCGTGATTATTACTAAAAGTTGCATTATGTTTTGGAGCAGAACCTGATGTTAGTTGATAAGCAAATCAAGTTGCTTTTCAGGTTATGGCTGTCAATCTTAAAGATCGAAGTCAGCTACCTGCAAACATGGCTGTGGTTGGACTTGTAATACGCCCAAACACAAGCCTGTTTGAAAGCCAACTGGTGCTGGAGAAAGGTAGGATCAAACTGAATGCAAAGTTGCAAACAAACAACAACTCAGTTGATGCGGTTAGAGATGCTGCCTGCAACATTTCCAGTCAAGCTATTTGGTGAAACTCGCAGACTTGACCATGTTGGTTCAGCCGGAATATCTGCAGAATATGCTGTTGCTGCAATCCTGGAACCAGGGAAAACAGGTGAGTTTGACTACCTGCCATTCTAATACTCCGGAGTCTTAGCATTGTCTCTTGACAGTTTTATCGGGACAATGAAGAAGAGACGGTGCATTTTGGGGATTACTCTGGGAGTATCTTTGGTTCTTTCCTTGAAGGGGGAATCAAAGAAGAGCAAGAAGCCATAGCCAATGCCACCAGGCTGAAACCAGCGACTCAGGATCTGGCTGAGTCCGAAAAAAACCTGTCTACGCTTGGCATGCTACATCTGGTGCTGGTGTTGTTCTGGCGGTATCAGTACCTGCATTTGCATAATGTTATAGGAGGAGACGTGGCAGGTGGTGAGAAATCATTTTCCAGGCATCAGCAACTCTTGATTTCGCCTGTAACACCATTGTTGCAGCACTGATAGAATAGAAGTCTGTTGAAATTATTACTCAAATACAAAATCATATGAAAAATTCTTGAAAATAATTACCTCCCACATCAAATCACTGTCTATATTTCATTAATAACAGAATTGTTTCAAGCATTTCAGATTTTCTATTTTCCCATTCTCTCTCTCCACATTTGATCCATAACAGGGTTTCTATTTACAAGGAAACAGTTTCTAACACACGTGTGTTGATTGTTTCACGTGACAATAAATGTATTACCAACAGTCAACAACAGCAATTCCCTTCCTCATCCTAATCCTGTCTTCCACTCTCAATCCAAAAAGAGGAAGAAAGAAAGCAAAACGCAAAATAATGGCTTCTTTGACTCTCGTCACTCTTTCTCCCCGTTCCCCATATTATCCTCCGCCTACTTCCTCTTATCCTACGCACCCCCTTCGCTTTCAAAACACCTCTCCAATTCCCTCTCGGTTCCGCTGTCCCTTCTAACCTTACCCACCGTAGCACCTTCCTCCGTCCTTTCAACGCCACGGTAGCACCCTAGAAAATGAAAAAACTCGGTGCGGAAATCTCTTCTCTAACCTTAGAAGAAGCTCTAATCCTAGTTGACGATCTCCAAGAGAAACTCATCGTCTCCGCCACTGCTTTTGCCCCTGCCGCCGTTGCTTTTGCCTCCCCTGGTGGTGTCGACGCTGGAGCCGCCACTGTAGAGGAGAAGACGTAGTTCGATGTGGTGATCGATGAGGTTCCCAGCAACGCGAGGATTGCCGTGATTAAAGCCGTTAGAGCCATGACAAATTTGGCTTTAAAAGAAGCAAAAGAGTTGATAGAAGGATGCCGAAGAAGTTTAAAGGAGTTTCCAAAGAGGGGGCTGATGATGCAAAGACACAACTTGAGGAAGCTGGAGCTAAAGTTTCTGTTGCTTAAAAATTAACTTTTTCTTGAAGGTAAATTTTTTGTATGATTTAATTGATGCAATTTTTTATTTTTAGTTGCTTTTGTTCTATCTGTTGATTTGAAATGTATAATATGATACTCAAAATGATGAATTTCTCTGAACTTGTAAATCAAAATGAGACATTTGGGTGTCTAAATTTTGAGATTTTTGATTGGATAAGGTTGCAAATTGAGTTGTTCTTTTCAAATTAGAGTGTCTTGTCTATCCAATTCAAAACCTAAATGGCCTGTAAATTTTGGGTCTGATTCTTATAGTTTAGTGCTGAATGGCATGGTTGTCTTGTATGAAACTGAATACCAGACATTGATTTGGTTTGTCTTGCCAACAAAAATTGAGTTTGTCTTAAGCATTGCATTTTGAGATGACAAGAACAAAAGTTTCAATTCTGGTTCTTGATGCCCGGAAGAATACTCAATACTTCATTACTCTTTCAATGCGTCATTGTCCTTCAACATTTTTGCGTCTTTCATTGTCTTACTCCATATATCTGCCGTAATTGGTTTGGATAAAACCAATTACCTCAAAACTGAAACCTTTTTTGGGTGCATCTTTGTTATGGAACGAGGAATTTGTCTCAAACCAAAAGAAAGTGTGCTCTTGAGCTGAATGGAGGGTTTCGTTTTTCAAGTTCTCAGAGATGATGTGATTTAATCCAAGCTACCATCTGTTTAAACCATCCATTAGCAATTCCAGACTCGGTTTTGAAGTCTAATTTTGAATCCGATGTAGATTATAACTAATCTAGGTTATTTGTTTCTGAGAGCTTTAGCATTCGTTTGAATCCCATCAAGTCATATTGAATGGTTACTGCTTGGTGCTGTTTTTATTTTTCCATGGGTGTACATACTCCAAGTCTTCTAATTCACCATTGTTGTCAATGTGCTTTATTATTATAAATACTCTTTAACGATGACAAAAGGCAGATCAACTTCTTCACTCTACTTTCCTTCGAGGGAGTACATGTCCATATTTATATTTATACTATAAAAAAACCCATTTCCAACTCAATGCACGATGCAGTAACTGAGACACATGGTCCCAATTGGTGGGTGGACTTTGTGATTCTTATACCCAATTATCAATCACTAACAAGGAAATTAGTGACCTAAGGGTTTAACTCTGCTATAACCTGATGGCCAAGTCAACGTTATTGACTGCCACGCTCGTCAAGTTAGCATAGGCCCGACACCCGTGTCACTCGCTATTAGGAGGTCGACGCCTTAGCAGCTCGTCTAATAGTCACTCGCCTTATATCTTGCATAAACGTCGAGCCACTGTGTCATTTCAAGAGCAAGCCATCTGCCCGTAAAACTACTCACATTACATCACAACGCACGTGTCATATATATGCCTTTTCTTTAGCCTTGCGCCTTTTTTATTCTTTTTTCACCTTTATCTTTTATATTTGATTGACTTGAACGTCCTACTGCATTTCGAAATTCTAATTCTGGTGCCTATTGATTGCATTTTTTTAACTGTAAGTCTAGTCATCCTTCAAGTCACCATTCATCTGAGTTTTAAGGCATTTTTATCAAAAATACTATCAACAAACTCGGTTTATACAATCATTTAAAAGAAAATCCAATAAATTAAAAATTTATATCTCAATACTTCGCAACTTTTTTTTTTTTAAATCGAACCTCAATAAATAAATCATCAAGTAGACATTTTTATTTTGCTCTAGTGTGGGATTGTAGCAGAAATTGTCGTAGTGCTCTCAAAACTTGCAGGAATGCATTTCTTATTATTAAAATCCACATAATAGCAATGGTCCAGGCTAATTTTAGGAAGGCATTCCTAACCTTTGATGATAATAATAGAACAGTTATATCTATTCACTTAGTTAATGAGGTCAACTTTTATATTGATTAAGTCAGTAAGTGTCTAACTATCATGTTACTATTGAAGAGGGTTACTCGTTCAAACTCCTTATTATAATATGAGCTTTCCTTTTTTAATAGATAAGATTATCCGATTATCATTACTAATGTCTCATCAAGATATCATTTTATAATAAATCAATTAATTTTTAATTTATTTAAAATCATTAAATATAATTCATATCGATTTAAAGTTATTAAATATAATCTACACTCATTCACGTAATTTTTTTTTTGAACTTTATATAAATTTATCATCAATTATCAATAACTCTAATCATATTATTACTTTTTATCTCGAATATAAAATAAGAAGGTTCAAGTTTGTCAATTCTAAATCTTTCTCCGGGAAGCTTAGCATTCTTTGCAACTCATTTTCTTCCTCCATAAACTATTGACACCTAATTAATTTGAGCATTAAAGCACATCCTAAAAAACCAACTCCAAAACCCCTGACCATGCTTTTATGCTGTAGGTATAAGTTGTTTCCAACACAACTCCTAAATCATCACCGAACTCGGTCATACCCAAAACACCATTAACAAACAATAAACTTTAATTCACAAAGTAATTCCAATCCTAACCACACAACAAAAAGTGAACTATTTTTTTCAATCAAAATTCTACTTTGAAGAGATAAAATAATTTAAAATTTTAGATATTTTCTTAAAATTTAGTAAAATGACAATCTTATTATTTGAAATTCATTTACCAAATTCTTTCAAAAAATAAATTCATTTACTAAATTAATTGGATTTTAAGCTAAATTAAAATTTAAATAGTAATATATCAAGTATATAAAATTATAAATAAACATTATAAAATGCATTGTATCATATAAGTTTGATTATAAAATTAAAAAATTATTATTAATGAGGCTTTGAAGTGATAATAATAAGGAGATTATAAAATTTTGAGATTTTAAGTATCAATTGTAATTTATGTGAATTTAATTTGATTTTATATTAAAAATTTTTAATTATATTTTAATTAATTATTTATTTATTTAATAATTTTTTATATACAATGTTACACATATTATAATTATAATTATTTTTATTTATAATTTAAAAATATTAAATTACACGTGTTAACCACAAAAGAAAATGCTATCCTATCGTACAACCTTCGTTTTTAAAATTCGTAACAATATATTCTTTATATATATATATATATATATTTATATATAGAAGATGAGTATAATCCACTTTCGCAACCTCAACGAAACAATCACGTTCGCCATTTTAATCTTCCACGTGTCAGTTGCACAACCGAATACAAGAAGTTCAGCGAGTACATTTCATTTCCCACTCGAGCAATTTTGTGGTGAAACCTTAACTATATGGTATGACGTGGGCGTTGGACAAAGACAACAAAAGATTAAAGTCTTCTGTCTCCTTTTGTTTTGTCTTAATTTTAATTTTTTAAGGAAAAAAATAATTACCGCAAGTCACCACTTTAAAATCTGAGACCATGGATGTCCTCTGACAGCTTTTTTTTAATATTTTTAACATGAGATTTTCGTTTTACTTGTCTCTGTAAGAAAAAAAACCAAGGTTCAAAATCTCTCTAAAAATTCAGTTTCTCTATCATTTTATTTGAAGAATCTTTAAAAAATATGGTAAAGCCTGTCTCTAAAGAGTTTTTGTTGTAAATCTAAACCCTTTAAAAGAAAATTCTTCTTGTTCTTCATCTTCAGGTACTTTTCATTTTATTATTTGTTTTTTATATTAAATATAATTGTTCATTTCTTAATGGTTTTTATATTTAATAAGTGTGGGCAAGTGGAAGTGGGTATTTTGTTTAGTGATTTTTGTTTATTTTGTCGATTTAGTTTGAGGCTGATTTTGTTAGAAACATTCAGTTTTTGCAGGAGAAAAATGGAAGCTTTTGAAAAGCCAGCAAAAACCCTCTTTAAAGATAAGTCTTTAGACCAGGATGCTAAACCCCCTAAAGAAGGTTCTAAAGGTGCTGCTGCCTTTACAGTTGAAAAACCATGGGAAAATGGTATTAGGGTTTCTATAAATGGAAAGGAAGGTTCTTGTCTTGATGAAGATGGTGAGGGACTTGAGGATTCTGAGATGAATGGGGTTTCTTCTTTGTTACAGATGAAAGGAAGTGTTGGGAAGATTGATGTTAATGGTGGAAGTGAGAGTGCCAAAGGGTTTGGCACTCTTTTAGGTGCTGTTGATAAAAGTAAGGAAATTGGTGTTGAAAATATATTTGCGAGTGGTGATGATGGTGTCCCAGCTAAGGATATTCATGGGGAAACTGCGGAAATTGATGGGAAAGAAAGGACGGATTTGGATGGTAAGGAGAATGGTGATGGGATGATAATGGGGAGGGTGGATGAAATAGATGATTGGGGGTGTGAGTTTTCTGCTGGTGATTTTGTATGGGGTAAGATTAGGAGTCATCCATGGTGGCCAGGGCAGGTTTATAATCCATCCGATGCATCGGATTTCGCAGTGAAGGTAAGACAGAAGGGAAGATTCCTTGTTGCATACTTTGGTGATAATTCATTTGCATGGTGCCACCCGTCTCAGTTGAAGCCTTTTGAGGAGAATTTTGAGGATATGTCAAAGTTGAGTAATTCTAAGAACTTTCTCATTGCTGTTCAGACTTCCGTTGATGAAATTGGCAGACTTGTAGAGTTGAAGATGACTTGCTCTTGTGTTCCGAAAGAGAATTGTTCTGGACTTGACAGGCCACTGGCAGCTAATGCTGGGATAAAGAAAGGAGTTCTTGTGCCTGAAGGTGGAATTGGAAAGCTTTCATTTGGTCTCTTTGAGCCTGAAGAAATTCTTGGTAAACTGAAACAAATTGCACAGGCTGTTTCTGTGAGTAATTTGCTTGAATGTACAGTGTTGAAGGGCTGGGTTTCAGCTTTTAATCGATCAACAGGCCGCTATCAAATGCCCACGTACCACGAGCCCCCGTCAATTCCAGACCTTGAAGAAAATGTTAGAACTCTCGTGGTGGACATGAGTGACTATAGTGAGGCAGTGGAAGTCCCAATCACAGGGCGAGTTGAAGAAGGTTGGGTTTCTTCTTCATCAGGTCCCAAATTTGGCCAACACAGTCAAACTTTTTTGAGGTGCCCGGAGATTTTGGAGAATGGCATGGATCAGAGGAGGAAACAGAAAAGCATTGCTGAAATTATAAAAGGGGAAGTAGATGCTCAGGTCAGAAAGGATGAGGATGTTGCTCAGAAGGGAACAAATTCAGGTAAACAAGCATCCTCATCTAGAACCAAAAAGACGAAAGGAAAACATAAGGCTAATGGTGATGATGGCAGCAATTCAAGTTCCATACCAAGGAAGAGAAAGGGAACTGAGCTTTCAGGATCTCTTACAGCTAGAAAGGGCAAAAGATCTAGTGCTGAAACGGATGGCACCGGGGCCAAGGAAGAAGAGATCAATAACCATCCTGTCTCTGCTAAAAGGAAAGTGAATGTTGGTTCAGGGATTGGAAATAGTGGTGCTGAAACCAAAGGTCTTATTGAGAGTGGTTCTTTGTTGAGGGAAAGGAAGAAGAGCAAGTACTTATCTCCTCCTTACACAAGTCCAGCTGGGAAGCTAAGAAAAATGGACATAGAAGCAGAATCCTTGAAGGTTTCCAATGACGCTCAAGTAGGAGATCAGATGACTAAGGCTACTGGCAACCTTGTTAGGTCCCCTCTGGTTCTCGATTATAGTGGTGAAAGGAATCAACTCCCTGGAGAAGTTCATGCAGAGCACAAAGCATCAAATGGATCAAGTTTTCATATGCCGGAACAATACCTGAACAGCATGATCGATCTGGAAAAAGTTAACACTCCTGCCAATGAAGTTTTAATTGAAGTCCAGGCTATAGCTCTTAGTCCACAATATCGAAGGAAAAACAATTCTTTCAAAATTGTGGTGGAATTTTTATCTGTATTCAGAAACTCAGTATACCGACATGGATCCAACTACGAAATATATAATCAGTTTCAACCTCATACAAAGAGGAAATATCCTGATTCTGTGACTGGGTCATCAGGACAGGACCGAAATCTGACTGATCATGTTCCCTATGAACATAGATCCCGGCAGAAAAAGGTTGGAAAGAAGGATCAATCAAATCCCAGGCAAGCTACCGGGGCATCACTGAAGAAAACAAGTGAAGAATCAAAGGCACATAATCCTAAAATCAAGCAAATTGCCAAGGCCGCAGTTATGAAGAAAAATGATAATGAAGTTATTGAAAATGCTTCACCTGCTGCTCTCTTTGTGACTCTTGGCCCAGGATCCCCATTGCCTACGAAGGATGATCTTATCAGAATATACAGCAGGTTTGGAGATCTGGACACGGAGGGTACAGATATGTTCTACAATAATTTCTGTGCTCGTGTTGTCTTCTTAAGAAGCTCTGATGCCGAACAAGCCTTCAACAGTTCACAAAGTGCTAGCCCCTTTGGAGCTCATAATGTCAGTTTTCGGCTTCTTCCTCACTCGAGTGCATCAGCTCATGAGCGCAGGGAATTACCAAGTGCAAAAGCTTCTCCTCTAGCAAAGGACGGAGCCAAGAAATCTAAGAAGCCATCAGCTTCCCAAAGTTCAGCCGATCAGACATTGCAGTTTAACTACATCAAGCACAAACTCGAGATGCTGACATCATTGCTAGAGACAACCGAAGAAAAGATGTCCTCAGAAATAAAATCCAAATTACAAAGTGAGATGAAAGGCCTCTTGGAGAAGGTAAACACAATGGTTTGAGTCTTCATCTTAAATCAGGACATAGCAAAATACTGGATGAACACAGTTACTTATAGTCTTGTTTCTGGTTTAATGATATTACTCACCGTTAGAATGAATGGGTCTAGAAGTTTATGTCATTGCTGTTACATAAGTTAGGGTTTATATGATATATAGGTAAGTCATATTATTCTAGTTACCATTTGCCTATATTAAATCACCACAGGCTCCATTACAGCTACGCAGGCACATCTAGTACAAAATGCAGTAGTTGGATTATGCTTTTTATGAATAAATATTCAGTTACTTTTTGAGGGGACTGGATTCAGATTTTCTTTAAAATGTTGATTTTTTTATAAAAATAATTTTCGGTCTGTTCTTGCATTCTTTGAGTCTAAATCATTGCTTTAGCAGTGTTTTGGATCATGGCCCTGGCAATTCCCAAGTCAGATGGCTCTGCTAGACAAATACCGAAGCAACCTGGCATTCATGCTTTTCACCTGTTGAGAACGGTAGAAATTGGTAGTTTGACAGTGCCAAAGTGTTATGATCTTCCACAGTTGACCGTATTGGATGATAGAACTAACGGGCTTGGAGAAATTTGAATTTTACTAAAATAAAAGGGCAAAATAAAGGTTTCTGGAAGTAATTCAATCAAACAGCACGTTGTATAAAGTCCAGAAGAATAGCAGTTGTTTTTGCATACAATTTAAATACCTTCCCAGGGTGTTTCCCGAAACAAAAGCATTTAATTTCTTCTCCCCCACTGATATATGAAATAGGTACCAAGTAGTTTTAGAGTCTCAAGTCTATTAACAGAATGGTATAATCGAAAAAAAAATTTAGTCATCTACAGGGTCCTGTGGAGTTTCATCTGGTCTGCGCTTGATCGTTACAGCAGGGCACTCAGCATGCTTGACGCAAAATTCACTCACAGAGTCACAGTTCCAACAAAAACCCTGCAGAAGCAAATTTTAGAAGAAAATTTAAGCTTTAAAGAACCCCCACCAAATTAAGTTTATGATCTAGAGATTGAAATGAAACAGATGAGTATCGAAGATGGAATGCATCAGGAACTAACCAAATTAAGTTTATCTAGAGATTGAAATGAAACAGACTAGTGTTGAAGATCAGATGCAGCAGGGACTAAGCATACCGTTGAAAAGGACCGAGTCTTCTACTACCAACAATAAGGAGATCTGGCTGGATCCTCATCACTTCATGACAGAACTTCCTTCGCATCGTCTTTCTCGATCCATGCTTTGCAAGCAATCTGCAATTAGCAAAATCTATCTTTTGCAGAAAACATAATGTTTAATAAAAAAAAAGCACAAAGATGAAATGGTTTAAAATTTTATAAAAAATTCATATGAGTTTAACAAAAAAAAAATGTATTTCTTATCTTTCGATATAAACTTTGATACGTAATTTTCATATAAAATACATAAATTATCCGTGTTTTACACGATAAAATACACAAATTGCCAGATTTATTTAAAAGAGATACTATTGAAGAGTGAATTTACCCCAATCTGATTACACCTTGTGACAAAGTACTCCAGCAAATGAAGCCCTCTTGCCCGGTCCCTGTGCTTCATGCTCTTGAAATCTTCAGGAGAGGCATAAATGCTGTCCATGTCATCGAAACCTAAATGGAAAAACATATTGAAAAGAGAACCATCGCTTGAATTGCCTCACATTGGCCAATTTTAAGACACTCAGAGCCTCAAACGAAGCATACAAGATCCGCCACTCGAAACCAGTTTTGCCACAGGAATTCATGTTTCAGAGTCAAAGCTTAATCAATTTCAAGCTTATACATGCCATTGACTGTATCTGAAAATACAATCCTGCTACCTTTTCAGGCAACTTTGACAGTGTAGTATGATCCGAGATTGCTAATATCCGGTTTCAATTTTTTTTTTTTAAATGTAATATATTTCAATACCAATTGTTTTGACATATTATTTTAAATTTTTAAATTTAATATAAATATATTTAAAAATATATATAAATTTGTACATTATAATACTAATAATAATTGACAAAATAAATATATAATATCTTCAAAAATCAAATAAATAAATTTTAAAATATAAAAAATAATATTATAAATTTTTTATAATATTTTTAAATATTTAACCTGATTATATGATATTTAAATAAGTATTTTTTATACAAATATTAAGATAAAAACAAAAAAAAATATTATTGGCTTCATGATTGTTAAATTTTAAAAATGAATTACAATTATCTTTTTTGAAAGAGATTAAAATACTTATAACTTTAATTTGATAAAACAAAGTATAGAAAAAAACAAATTACAATAAAAAATAGAGTAACTCAATTTTAAAAGTTATTTTATTAATTAATGTTATTTTTATTAAGTTAAAAATAATCAAATAATAAAAAATAAATTATAAATTATAAAATATATTTTATATTGTTGAAACAAGTTAATTCGTTAAAATTTATTCAAATCAGAAAATAATCAATATTACTTGATATTAAATTTGATATAAAAATTATGTTTAAATATATTATATTTTGATATAATTGAAATATATCGATCAGACCGATACCAAACAAATTAGCAACTATGATATGATCCGTACTTTAAAAAAGGACTTCAAGGGCTTTAACATTGTTGAATAAAAGTAAAACCTTTGACTTTCGGTCACTTTTCCAAATTTTCTGTTTTTCAGTAGCTAAACAGAAGATATTCTTAGCAATCAAACAACATAACAAAAGATTCAAGAAACGATCAATCAAATCAACATCTCGTAACCTCATAAATCAGAAAATCGCAGTAATGTCGATAAATCCAAGCGCAATCAACAATCGCATTCTCACACACTTTACAAACCCTAAACAACGACAACCACGAGCGAATAGAAAACGTGCTCAATAAAATTCACAAATATATGGATAAAGGGCGCAGGAAAAGCGAAGAGAGAGAAAGAGAGAACCATCTTCGTCGGGAACTAGAACGTGTAGGAAGAGAAGCTTGAAACCGGAAGAGTTTGATCGAACGATCTTCTGAAGAGTCCACTTGAAAGCTCCTCTGCTGCTTATAGAAGCATGAGGGTACCCTCTCATCGTTGACTCGTTCACTGCCAACATTATCCGAGCTGCGGATGCCTCACTTGTCGCCATCTTTCCACCCCCAACTCATTGAGCCTCTAACTCACTGAATCAGTAACCACTCTCTCTCTCTGTGTTTAAGCTTTTTGGAACTCTCTGGTTTTTCGAGACACGAAAGGCTCTGCGAGGGAGGTCGTTAAATGTGGAGCGCGCAATGCCCAAAAAGCGTATGATAGGGATTATTAGGAGATAATTGCTCTCGTGCACTTTGGCGGTATAACTTACACTCCAACCCGGTAGATTTGAAGTGATGGCGTCATCTTTTTCCGAAAAATGGCGGGCCTTTTTTTTTTTAATCTTTTTTGGGTCTATTTTGTAGTTGAAATTACTGAAATGCCCATCTTAAATACGGATTCCTTTATGGGCCGATCCGGGTCACATCTAGCCCAAAAAATATGAAAGTTTGGATTTTGAAGGTTTAGAACTTAGCCTTGTCATAAATTTGCTGATAAAGCTCTCAACGAAAAAAAGCCCATAAAAAAACTATAAATTCTCTCACCATTCTTCTGCAATTCACGGCCTAACGCTATAACCCTAAATCGTTACAGCCGCCATCAGTTCCATTCCTGCTTTTTTTATCTTCTTTTTCTGCATCACGGGTTTCTTTTCTTTCATTTTTGTTTTCGTTTTACCAAAAAAATGGTGGTAAGAGGGCAGAGATGAAGAGTGCTTTATTATTTCTGACACCTCTTGTATGAGAAAAGCTTTTAACAGAGCTTTTCTTTGAGCAGATATAGCAACTTTCTGAGCCCTTTCAATTCTATAAACTATTTATTTTTTTGGGTTTCTTTTGGGTTGGGATTTAAAAGGAAATTTTATTTCATTTCTTGTTAGTACTTACTAGGAGTTTATAGTTTTTATGGAACTTTGGTTATGCAAATTTTTTGCTACAAATATACCTCAGTTTTGGAACAGAGATTGCTGTTGTTGGATTGGAATCCGAGATTGTTGAATGTCATTAAGATGATTGTCTAATAAAACTGACGTCATTTTGGTTTTGATTATGAAAATTTAGAAATTGTTATGGCTTCAATACTTGAAAGAATATAAACAAGTATATAAACAAGTTGAAATTTTGGTGGTCTGAAATGATTGAAGAAAAAGAATTGATCTGTATTTCTACTTCTGGAGGATGTCTCCAATTACTTTGAAACTCAATCTTGCCTTGCCCAATTTGCTTTTAATCTGATTTCTAACTTAAACTTTTAACGCAGTTTTCACTTAAATCTCAACTGGAGAAATTTGATTGAAACCAAATTTGAATTGGTTCCAAAGATTATTGCTACTTGCAATTAAAAAAAGGAGAGTGAAAAACATTTCTCACAATTGGATGGTGGAAACAAGTTGTGCTCTCTTTTGCTGATAAAGCATAAATCCTATTCAAAGGGAAAGCTAACTTGGGTTAACTTTAGCCATGGCAAATTCCAATTTTTGTTGACATGAGATTGGTAAGTTTCTTGTTTGACAGTTCAAAGCGAGTAGGAATAAAGTCGAATGAATTTCCACAAATCTTGTTTGCCGGCATCCCTATTTCACTTGCCAACTTCTCTGCTTTCTCCTTTCTTTCAGTGACTTGATCAAAGCAAATGTACCTTCCAAATGCTGTCTTGTTCATTGCCTCAAACACAGATACATGTGCCTCTGCCGATCTGTTTACATCAACAGTTGCTAGTAACCCATTTGCATAGATATCTTGGGCTCCTGAAATTCACAAATCACTGATCTAATTAGTTTTCAAGACTAGTCGTTGCAAAGTTAAAATTAGAGAGTGAAAAATGAAAAGCAAATGAATAATATTACCTTTAAGATAAGCTGTTGTTTCTGTTGGATTTCTGTAAGAGAATTCAGGACCTATAATGAGCCCTGGACAGATGGTGGTCAATTTTAAGCTCATCCCCTCAGCTAGTCTCCATGCAGCTTTCTCTGCTTTCAGCTTCCCCAATGCATAACAGAGCTACCACATTTGGAGATAAAAGCTAAAATATTGATAAGAAAATGCCAATAACTCTCCATGTATTTATCTCAAATCATGGGTATTTACTATTTACTACTGCTAGTTTACTTGTGCTATACCTTTTTGTCCATGCAAAGTGATTCATCACTCCAGCAATCATGGTTAACCAACGGGGGGAGATCATGTTCGGAGCTGTCTCTCCGTATGCAGGCCAAAAGTGAAGATGTGAGCACACAATTCCGGACAGAGGGTGTTCTTGCACATGCCTTCTCACATTTTCACAGGCCCTTACTTCTATTTCACCATGGATTTCTAACAAAACACAAAAAAATAAAGTTAAACGTAGCTTTGTTACATTGTGGTAAATGAGTTGATTTGGTAATGTGAACTCCAAAAATCCAATTTCCTACATTACAACCAGACAATTCCTGGAAAATAAAATTCCAAAGATACTTCTTAGGGTTCAACTTGGAGCTAAAAGAGTGTCAGGACAGGTTGACGCATCATGAATTCAGACCAGATGATTGTGGCATCAATCCAACGAGATTGGTGCTCTGGTCCTGGTAGGCCAAGCCAAGATAAAATCCTGAAGGCATGTCTATTTGTAGTAGCACACTTATTTTTAGAAATTTAGACTTTTCAGTTTACTTTTTCATCCCAGTCCTTTTTTGCTATGCAGATTTCATACAGGACTATTGTTAGTACACCTTTTTTGGTCTGCTATACCTCTTTAATACTATTGCAGATTATTGCATTGAAGTATGGTCAGTCGATTATTCTTTAAAGTCAAACAAATGGGAGAAAGATGACAGAACTCACTGAATAACCAGAGATGCCAGCAGGGTCAGCGAAAGCAGAGGTGTGAAACACGCCACAACACCCATCAAACTCCTCCATTAGCCCCTAGATTTCAGTTGGCTTAGCCATGGCCACAGAAATTTTTTCTTACATGCTATCATCTCCCCTGACATCTCCATCTCCCTCAGCTTCTCTACATCTTCTGCATTTATTTTGAATTAACCCAAGAAACCCAATTAAAACAGAAACATAATAGTAGTATCTAAAAAACAGGACCTTGACTAGATTTCTGGCTGTTTTCAGCAACCAAAATCTCATGTCATGGTTGGGACTTGGGACTTGGGAATTTTACCTTGGTTATCAACAAGGATTAGGACGGAGTATCCATGGAGCAAGAGACGGTTAACTAAGGCAAGTCGAAGGAAAGAAACGCCACTGGTAACACAAACAAGCTTGTCTTCAAGATCAACGTTGGCATTATGGGAGCTCAGGCCTTTGAATTCTCCATTTTCTTTTCTTCTTTCAAGGGCAGCAAAAGCAACCAAAGTCTGCCTGAAGTCCTCAAACTCCCTTCTTTCATTCTCTTCATCTTGTGCCCTCGCAATCCCCATGTCTCTCTGCTTTTCTAGCTTTGGTTTGAGTTAAGTTTAAACTCTGGCTTCTGATATCTGCTTACTATAATTGTCTAAAGCGGGTTAAGTTTTGGATCCCGAAAGGGCGACCAAAGCAGTAGGTAGGGAGTGGGGATCTGAAGCTCAGAAATAATCATACAAAAGACACCGTTTTTTTATTTAAAGCTTATTTCCAAGGTGTGGCAGAGTAAGATTGAAATGAAAGATGATGACTCGGCCAATTCAGTTGGCTTGACTTTGTTATGGTTATAAACAAGGAGGGTAAACGAGTACAAATTAGTCACCAGCGATTCAGATTCGATAAGGAAAAAAAAAAATTAAGCTCCATTTGTTTATGGGCCAAAGTCGAGTTTAAGTTTAATAGTGTATCCACTCAATTGTTAAAAATAATATATACTCAAAGCATCATTCACCATAGATTTAAGACATTGGTTTGGGATCTGTTGTTAAGCCATAGGATATGTAATTTAAAGGGATAATAGATCCGAGCCTTGCAAAAATTTTGTAGGTGAACTAAAGCCCTCAAGTTCATTTATGAAACCTATTTCTTGTTCTTAAATGATAAATATAAAAGAATATAACAAAAGAAGAGAAAATTTTATTAGTGGTATTTTCTAACCAAACTTACAAATACACATGTACTAATATATCAATTTTTATGTACAAAGTACAGATGTTTACTTATGTAATAATTATTAATTAGCATTAAACCACTTAAATACAAAAACCCGTTTTATAAAATCTTGCAAAAATAATTTGAAAAACATGAAAATATTTAAAAAGTTGAATGAATATTGCATGGATGGGCTAAAAGAATGATCAAAGGGGATTGAGAAAAAGATGGAGGAAAATGTAACCTCTTGAAACCAATTGTGAACAAATATAAAATGATTCAAAGCCAAAGCCAAACTTAATTGTGATCTTTACCGAGATAACTACAATATTTAAAAAAAAAAAAAAGAAGAGAAACTAATCCTAATTAAATGACTCAACTCAAATTTCTCACACCATTTCCATCTCCAAAGATTTTTCATAAAGCAAATATACTAACTGTTTAGCTTAGATATTTAAGCTTTGAGTCTAGGTTGAAAAAAAAAAATACAAAAAATCAAAATATTCGGTACGTCCTAATAGAAACCAAATAATTTTTTTTTTTTCTTTTTGGGTATCTAAGGTTTCCAAAATTTGAACCCTAAGAAAGAGAGATCTGATTTATTTCACATCCATCTTAAATGCTTCCTTGTTGCCATTCAGAACCATCTTTGGTTCAAAGATCATATTTAGCATTATTTTATTTCTGGTTCCAAGAGCAAAAGAACACCTGAGAGAGGGAGATAGTGATTATATTACAATATCCTGTCAATAAATTACAACTTACACGAGACTTAAGGAATGGCATCTCAAAATTTGGGCGTCCGGCTTTTAACACACAGCCATAGATATGGTACACTAGAAATTCAATAAAAAGCACTCCTATAATAACTCAAAACCATTTTTATGAACCCTAGCACTGACAAAGGAATAATGAGGCAGTTTATATATATATATATATATTATATATATATATATATCAACATCACCACCATGCTTAATTGTCTCACCTTCACTCTTTGTTGTAGGCCAAAGCATTTAATTGTTTCTCTAACTGCAAGGAAATGATAACGAAGTAAAATGAACTCGGTTTCCAGTCAACAAAAAAAATCTAATGGCAATTGAATGCATTAAAAACCCTCGGAATTCATTAGTTTCACAAAATAAGACTAAATATACATTCAAGATTAATACACAAACCTGCAAGTTTTTCATTTTCTGTCTCTGCAATTCCTCGACAAGGTTCCCAATACTGACAACAGAAATAAAGGTTTAGTATAATGAGCATAAAGAAAGAAAATCAGCACTGTTTGAGCTTCAACGCATACCTCTGTTGCAGCTGAAGCACCTGAGATTGCAGTTCCCTCTCCCTTGCAGAAGAAGGTGGTATCTGAACATACAATTAAGACAACTTAATCATTCCTTTAGAGAAATAAAATTTTTAAACAAGGTATGCCTATCTGAGAAAATAAGTCTCAGCATGAGAATGCATATCCCAGTAACCCAGGTCATAAGAAAGCATCAAATAATAGGGTAATTGACACCATGGAACGTTACGTTTAGAAAGGCAATGTGGTTACTAAGAAGTTTAGGTTGATTAATCACCTGCAGAGGGTCAATGGTGCCCACCTCTGTCAAGTCCCCAACCTTACCTGTATAAGCAAGATAAGTTAAATATAACATCATAATTTTTTTCTACGGTTCAGCAGCAGAAAATGTAGACAATCAAAATATAGAACATTACCAGAAGTTTGCTCCAAATACTTGATCAGTCTAATGATTTCATCCTGTCAGCAATTACCAAAAAAAAAATGTTTTAAGACAGGCAATCTCTATGACATGAGATCGGACATACAAAAAGAAACGTACCCTTTGAAAGGTGTTCTGCTGCAAAATGCATTGTAGAGATGGGAGAACTGCACTAGCTGTAAGGTTTAGAGATGTTGGACTGATTGAACCTCCAGTAGCTGGGTTAAAAATGCAGTTTGTAGGTCCCTGAATAAGACAAAATAATGGCAATGGTTATACAGCCATTGCCTAAAAGATAAATTGCTAAGTTCCATCCTTATAACTCTTCATCCCAAAAACACACGAATTAAAATAGACACCCATGGAAGACAGTTTGTGGGAGCAACAGTGTGGGCTGCGATGAGGAAGTATAAGCCACAAAATTTTCATGGGTAGCAGTCCAGATATTAATGGATAAACTTAATCCAAAGCAATGAAGTCTTACATGAAAAATACAGTTTGAAATTGGATAAAATGAGCCATAAGGACAAGCACACAAAATGCAAGTACCAATACAAGTCAACCATATTTAAAGAAACAAAAAAGATATGAAACCAAAGTCTGCAGTGGAATCATTTCAAACATAGCCCTTTAGCAAAAGTATAATTTATTCAATATGAAATTAAAGTATGACATTTGAGGGCATTAGATGTATGTCATTTTGTTAATGCAGAATGTCTCATCATGCCTAACAAATGGTGACCAACTATATAGATATTTATCAGCACTGATAAACTTCAATGCAGTAGATTATTACAGACAGGAAGATATAAGACACTCAATATATGCAATATATATTCCTAACTGTGCCACTGATTTCAAGTAAAGACTGTTTATCAGTACAAAGTTGCATGTTATTTCACGACAGCAGAAGATTGTACCCAATAGGCAGCAAAGTGTCTTTAAAACAAATGAGATAAACGTTTTGTAATATTGCAAATGTACCTTGGGACTGAGATCTGTTGCAGTCACCTTAAAGCGTCCCCGCCGAACAACTGCTCCCTCTGATGCATCGTCTGATACATAACAAGAGGCAAAGAAACCAAACTAAGTTCATTAGAGTACAAATAAGCAGCATAACTTATAAGTAGAAACAAAGAAAATAAAACCAGGAAATACCAGAAGAAGGGTTATTTGTTTCTCTCCTCAGGCGGTACAACAATGGACCACTATGGTTGCGTTCCGATTGAAATTTAGGCTGTGGGAAGTCCCTTCAAAACATTTTTGATAAGCCCAATTTAATATAGATTATGAAATAAAAAACTTTTCCAGTCAAGTAAATGGACAGATAAAAGCAACAATGCGCTTTGTAACTACAGAAATAGCAGAATCAATGACCAAGTCAAGAAGAACGTCCTTGTACACCAGATCATACATCTAGGATTCCTCGACTTGCAAGTTGCAATACATAGAATTCAAAATGTCGTCATATCTAGAGCTTGATAATGGGAAAAAGACAAATCCTATGCGATAATTCAAAGACTTCAAGCATTCTATCATTTTTAATGATAACAGTTTGCGGCTTGGGGCAACTTCACTTAGAACAAAGCTTACCTGTCCCCATTTCCTGTAACCTTTTTAAGAGAAAAGGCATTATCAGGTATTAGTAAACTGCTCAAGAACTTTTTATACTCCGGAATGACCTGACGTGGTAAAGAGCTACTTTGCCCAGAATTCTCATCCACATTTCTCCCAGCATCTTGGTCCATGGCTCTTGATGACATAGTAATGAACTGTTCACTTTCTGATCGGATAACACCTTTCCAATTTGGTCTATTTGCACACTCATCATCTTCACCAATGTCAAAACAGCCTCTGCACCAATTAAATAGTTGCATAAATAAAGGAAAGAAACTAAATTACCCAGAACAATTTGACTGGAAACCTTTCTTTTCCAAAAAAAAAAGAGAATAGTAATTAGTCCATGAGATACCATATATGTTCTTAAAACATATCCAGAAGAAAATTATCCAAAAGAAGCAGATAACTTAAAAATTGAAAGATTAAACTTGTGACAAGATACTGCTTTTTATTTGAAAAAATTAAAATTCCCAATCTCTTTGAATGTGGAAAATATGAAAAATAAGATCCTCCTAATTATGTTATAACAATAAATTGTTTGCAATAGTAAGGTCATAAAAGCATAAAAATGTCATACTTGAGTGCTTGAAGAGGTTTAATAGGAAATGAAGCAAGTGAACTCTCCAAATCATTAAGATCGCTAAGCCCATCCTGAACAAGTAAAAACAAGCAAAAGGAAGATATAAATCTTGAAGTACAAGCTTAATCAAAGCATCAATGAAGGATTGAAGGGCTGACAATTCAATTATATAGAAATCATTTTTGAGTTATAACTAGTACCTCCTGGTTAGTTGCAGCAATGGAATTACTGGCCGTTTCTGCAGACATCCTCTCTGCCGATAACCCAACTACATTATACCTGTCCCTTTGCTTCCTGCTCTCATCTCGCTCTTCGGCATTTGACACTTCCTCATAATCTTGAATCTGCAGGTAAAACAGTCAGCATTTCTGATGAGATTAAGATTACAGAGAAGTTTTTGGACTACCTTCAGATGAATAATAAAAGAAAAAAAATCAACATGGTAAATTGAAACTACTTACAAGTGCAGCCTGACTTTTCAAGTCCTCTAGGTCAAAATTCCAGGCACTAACTCCTCTTATGTACTCTTGCTGCAGGGTGAAAGGAATTCATATTCAAAGTGATACTATGTAATGATATATTTTTTATATACCATGGGCATTCATTAGTCAAAGTGATACTAGCTGCAATAGTTTATCTTAGTCGTAAGACCTGAGATAAATGTGGAACTGACAGCAATTGGATCACAAGAACACAAAAACCTAAAATACTAGTAAGACATGAATGAAAGAATCTAGCACTATCAGTTACTTTTTGTTGACAAATGTAAAAAGCTCCATTATTCACCTTTGATAATTGCTCCTTGTCCTCATAGAGAATCTTATTCTGTACAAGAAGATCAGCTTCTTTTGTCTGAGATATAAAAGACCAGATCAGGTTCCACATTAATTACCCATCTTAAACAGATCACAGATTAAATAAAAAGGGTAAGCAAGAGACCTTTAGCACCCTAAAACGTTCACCTAATGGAGGAAGGCCATGAAGAATGGTATAAGCTAGATAATCAGAGGTGCGTGCATTTTTAAAGAAATGGTGCTTCAAAAGCTTCTCCGAAGTAGGACGTTTCTTTGGGTCCTTCACCAAGCAAGTAGCCACCATATCCTTGAAAGACTAGATAAGCATAACAATATCAGGATGATACCAACAAGTGATACCAGTCGGTAAGACATAATTGAATAACACAAACCTTTGAAAACCTCTTGTCCCTTTCATAGTCCAGACCAGGAGGAGCGTTTTGCAAGGTCATCAGCAAAACCTACAGAAAGAATGCGAGTAATCAATCAAACTAAGAACCAAAGCAGAAGGCAACAATAAAATACATACAATAAGTAACTCATATAACAATCAGGAAACTAAGAGATATACTTTCATAGGTGGATGCTTGGAAAATGGGGCATGGCCATGAGCAAGTTCAAGAGCTGTTATTCCAAAAGACCAGATGTCTGCTCTGATTACAGGAAAGAAGAAAACGAAACAGAATGGTTTAGAAGGTATAACAAAGCAAAATAAAAAAGGAAATGAAAAGAAGAAGTATAGATAAGAAAAGCAATCAACTCACTTAAAGTCATAACCGTGCAATTGCTGCATAACTTCTGGAGCCATCCTGATAAAAAAAATCAACGACAAGGAGACACATTGCAGTCATTATCAACTCTCAAAATTTGAATTTCCATAATAAAAGCACCAATATAAATAAAATCCCAGACAGCTGAAAGGCCAAGGCAAAAAAAATACCAGCAAGGAGTCCCAACAAAAGTATTTCTGGAACGCTGTCTGTCTCCAGTATCAAACATGCATGCTGATACTCCATAGTCTGCCAACTTGACAGCACCATTAGAATCAATTAAAATATTCCCAGCCTGCAAAAATATAAGTTATGAATGTAGATAAGAATAACCGAGAAAAATCCCCGAGAAGGAAGGAAACTAACAAGAACAAATGACAGGCAGTAGGCTGTTGACATATGTAGCACAATTCGTATCCTTCTCATCAAAGAAACAATGAGAATAAGTCAAATTGAACTAACAGAGTAATAGATTCAATAGCATGCTACTATTAGCTTAAGGTTTTGTCTATAGAAAGCAGAAGCATTTTTTCCCTGTATTTATCATATATTGTCAATTACATTATAAGATGAACCATAAGTGTTCATATTATTTGTTACAAAATATAGCTTAAACTGTATGTTAAACAAAAACAGTCAATAACTGATCAGCTTGGCCTCTGAAAATAAACTACTTGCAGAAATAAACAAGAAAACACATGGTATAAAAATAGAAGAAGAAAGCGCAGTTAGAAACCTTCACATCTCTGTGAATGTGCCCATGTGTATGAAGATAAACAAGAGCTTTAAGAACTTCACGCAATAAAGTGGCAATGACAGGCTCTTCAAAACCTTCAGGATAAGCATATTTCATTATATGCAGGCAGGATCCCCCATACATGTATGGCATCACAACCCAAAGGTTGTGACCAGCAGTGAATGAGCAATGTGCCCGTAATACATTTGGGTGATCAATCAAGCTCATAGTCTGCACCTCTCTGCGGATGCCATCCTGCATTATTCCCAAACAAAACCCATTCAGTGTGACAAAAATCATATGTTTGATTCTCGATGCAGTGGAGTTGCTGGAACTAATAAGATAAGTGTATAAGTAAACATGACTTCCAAGCAAAAAATTATGAAATACCATACTTACCAGATCATTATTACACTTTTCCAAATCAAGAACCTTGATAGCAACAATTTCATTAAGTGGACTGCATAAAGCCCTGTACACAGTGGCACTGACACCTTCTCCAATTTCTTCATATAAGTTATAATCTTTTGCATTGACTGGATATCGCTTCTCCAACGGATGCTCCATTGTTTCTTTTTATAGCATACCATTACCACCCTCTTTACTCCTAGATGTTCCGATTAACAAAAACAAAAATTCAACAAAAGATTGGACAGTCAATCTTATGCGGGGCTTCTTCCAATTTGGTAGCATCTTCTCTTCTTTAACACACAGTGGTATACAAGTCCACTGCCTTCATCAAGTTAATAGCCTTACGCAGTCCTTTTCCTTGCATGCAGAAACAGTTTAAACCCCAAAATCCTAGTTAATAACAGAAAAGACACCACTTATTCTGTAATCAAAATATTGGAACAAGCAGTAGACTGTCCAACAGCACACTCAGCAAAGTGCTATGAGAAAAGTGAATTACCCCAGATAGCAAATAGAAGCCTAAAGGCCAGTAAATGTTGTATGGCACAAAACTAATAAACACAATCCAAAGCCAACCAAAATTCCATGTAAACTGACCAAGAACCAAAATGTATGTGAGGTAACAAGAAGCCTTTAACCGAAAAGGTGGTAATAGGGGTAGTTTTTAACCTGTACAAACCCCCCAAGAAAAAAGGGTGTTAATTCTTACTTACACAAACACCTTTTTCAAAACAATTAAAACAAATACTAAAAGAAAAGCAAAAATTAACTTTCCCTATAGAAATAAAAACTACTTGATACCTTTATAATTCTTAGATACTCCAGAACAAGACATTCCAATAAAAAACACAGAATTTAACACCTATCTTTCCGATAAATTTTCAGAAACAAAAATAAAAATTCAATTTCATTTTTAAGAATTCAATAAAAGAGACAACTTTTTTATATAATTCTAGCTTAAATTAAAAATAGCCCTAAAACGTAACTATCACTCCAAATTCTAACTAATTAACTATCAAATAACATAGCATTCATAAAATCACTCCAAAGTTTCCACATTTCCACTACAAAACAACTAAACAGAAACTAAAAATATAATCAAATTCCAAATAACTTCACAATCAAAAAATAATTAACTAATTACAAATTCATGGAAATAGAAAAAAGAATAAGCTAAAATTATTCACAGATTTGATACAAACCTAGGGTTTCAGCCGATTCAAATCAGAACTGAATCTGAAAACTTGATAAAAGAATTGCATTAATAAATCGAAACCCAACCCCTCTACCTCCTTCAAACGACGTCGTTAAAGGAGATTTCCCTTTTTGAAGCCTCAAATTTCGATTTTTTTTTTTTTATTTTCCTTCTTCAAAGACGATTCTAACGATGAGGCTTTGGTGACGATAATTATTAGTGGAAAAATATTATAATTAAATAAAAATTAATTTTTAATAAAATATCGAGGTTCAGGTCCATGGATCGAGTCTTTCAATTTTCAAACTTTGCAACAAAATACTTTTAATTTTCTTTTGTTTTTTTTTTCTTTTTTTTCTTTAAGCTGAGAGAACAGTAAAATGAGTGAGAAAAAATAAGAACGGAAAAAAGAAAAGAAATGTATTGAGAGACAAGAAGATCGAGGTCGTTGCAAATCGGCAAATTGTAATGGAACCCACCAAGAGATTTTGATGAGATTTTGGTTTTCTCCCCTGGTAGTTGAAAATATCATTACTGTGGCTGATTGTAATTTATCGCAGCCATTTGTGGAGAGATAAGAGACGGGTGATTGCAACCCCTGTTAGAATACATGCTTTTCTATCATATTTTATATAAAAATTATATCATATAATTTATATTAATATAAAAATATAAAATATAAAATATATTTTTTAATTTTATTAAATTTATATATAATTATTAGTAAAATTTTAATTATATTATTTTCATATTTTTATATGTTATTTATATAATATTATTATATTATATTTTAAATTATCAAATCAATATGATTATAATTTAATTTTTTTATTAAAAGATAAATTTGTAATTTCCTTAATTTGTATTAAAAATGTTATATTTTATCGACTTGATTTAGTTCAAGTGATAATCGATCCATAAACAGAAAGAAAAAAAATTTTATATTCTTCAATGTTATATCATTTAAATAAAAGATATTTCAATATTTTAATTTCAAAAAATCTAAATCTGAAATAGTTTTTTCCAGGGATGGAAAGGTCACTGTTGTTTCACTTGCCACATCAACTTTTTATTTTTCTTATCACAAGCATCTTCCTCTCAAGGTAGGAAAAAGTAAGGGTCATTGTTTGATCCTTTTTCTTTTCTACTAAGGCCGTCTAGGCTAACCATATGTCCTTAAATTATCAGCTCCTTCAAATTATTTTCATTGCATCTTAACTTTTACAAGTGCATTTCATGTGATTGTCATTTTGGTTTAATCCTTATCATTATTACCAATTTCTTATTAGTTGACCTCACACTTTATTCCTTGTGCACCTTTTTTAACTAAGCCTTTGTTTAGTAGTACCGTAAAAAAATATAAATTCTATGTTAAATTCTATGTTAAAACCGCATGAGATTAAATTTAGTAATCTCAAATATTATATAGTGATATGAGATGAATATAATATAAAAATAAAATATAAAATTAATATAATTTAAAATTTTAATAATAATTATATATATTTAATAAAATTAAAAAATATATATATTTTATATTTTTGTATCAATAAAAATTATAATACATAACTTTTATATAAAATAAAATATAAATATATAAATTTTAATATTTTATATGATATAAATATATGAACAGTTGATCTACACTTACAATTCTTTCCATCGCTAAAAAAAGGTGTTGGGAGTGGATTTTCAACAAGGTTTAAAAGTTTAGGCCTGCAGCTTTAGTGGGTTTGATTCTGGCTAAACAGCTTGAACTAAATCACCAGAGGCAGGCTTGGAAGGGCCCAGCAAAGTCGGAGTTCCAAGAATCTAGTCTAGGCCGAGTAAAGCATCTGATCTACGTTATTTTCGGCTAAAAATTATGGAACTCCTAAGAATCGAGGCATTTCCTCTCTGTCTTAAGCACATGTTGACTGCAAGTGGAGGCTGATATGAAGAAGGGTTTGGTTTGGTTTTTGGAGTTAAATAAACTCCTGGCACCTGGAGATTGTAGGTAGACAAAGCACTTGAATTTAGAGACTTTGGGGTAGCCAGATTTGACCCCGGGGCCTTAGTTTAGATCTAGGGTTAAAAAACCTGGACAGTACAAAACAAATCCAAGAACAAGGTCTCCCCTACACATTACCTACCCTACAATATTTGGACTCCATTAAGGCGAAATTCCACATCTAAGCCAGGCAGTGGCTGCCTCCTATCAATGATCTCTTATTAATTCAACGAATCATTTTGATTTGAGGAAGAAAAATTCGAACATGTTTTTGGAGATAGTAAGATCTAGCGCCAATCATTAAATCTAATGTTCGGATGCTACAATGTCTTCTCGACTTCGGTTCTAGGTGTCAGCCAGACTTTGGCTCAAGGGAAACAATTCTCTATAGCTTGAAGTTGATAGATTTTGACAATTACAAAGGAAGTAGGGGGCTTAAAAACAAAGAAACCAGGTGAAGACAAAGGCCGGAGGTTGGTCCAGCGTTTGTACGCCGACTTTGAAATATGTTTTTCAGATTAAAAAAAATATATTAAACTATGCCTCTAATTTGTCGGCCGAGAATCGCTCCAGATCTCTGGTAACTTTGGTATTTGCAAGAACACATAGCATGTCAACTGAATTGTAAAGCAGTACAGCAAGTTGAAAGTAAATGTTAGAGTTGCAATTTGATCACCCCAAATGGAGTAACTTGTTTATCAGTGTTCTCAACTGCTGCCTCCTGTGCTCATCAACTTTGAAAGACAATCTTTTTTCTTTTGCGGTATCCTCTATTATACCAAGAGGGACGTAACTGGTCAACCATTAATTCGGCAAAGATGGTCAAGTTGCTGATTATGCAGTTCTTAGGGAGACATTGTAGCAAATTGCCAAATGACACTCTCCATCAATTACTTCTTATGGATCACCACCTATTCAATAAAGTTTTCATGGGTCGGATTGGGTTTAAATCGGATTGAGTTTAAGTCAAAATTATGCTCAATATTAATAGTTTATATGTTTATTAAAATTTGATTTAGTCCAAAATTTTAAGTTTTAAAATTTTTCATATTTAAATTAAAAAAATATAACCCAAATACATATATTAAATTTAATTTAATTATATTCAATTCACGCATATATATAAATTAAAAATAAAAATTATTATATAATTTTTATTTTTAATTTATATATATATGTGAATTAATTTATATATAATCACATATATATATAAATAAAAATTTATATATATATGTAAATTTAAGTTAAATTAGACAATGCTCGAGTTTTAAATTTTTATTCAAGATCTGATCCAAAATTTAAACGTATATAAATTGTATCCAAACTTATTTAATAAATTTTAATTTTTTTTTTTTAAATTTGAATGAATTTTTAGACTTAATCAAATTACCTGAACCTTCAAAATTGCCCTTTGGTATGTATATATTCTTGATGGTTTATGGTTCTACTTCTATCCCATTCCCACCTACATGAAACTTATTCTGGTAGGTTGAGATTTCAATTTTAGATTTTGGGTGCCACTCTTTGAAATTCTTGATTTCATCCTCGATTTTATGGTGGGCAATGTGTTTGATTTCACACTCATAAATGACAAGAAATCAACTTCAAAACCATCTAGAATACAACCCAATATTCAATACTCTTAGGCAAGTGGGACCTTTAAGCTGGAACATATATCATTAGAAATTTTCAGGTCTACTATACCACCTAAAATTAAGCAATTTTTCCAAAGCAATTCCTAATTTTAGAATTTTCGTGTGTCAATACAAAGAAATTATCAAAATTTTACCACGCCTAAGGTAATCTTTAATGAAAGAATTATCATAAATTATTATGTTATATTTATAGGATAAAGTTTCAAAACCTAAAAAAAAAAACCTCCAAAATTTCAGGCCAACTTGCCTTTGCTTTTTTTTTTTTTAAAATTTTACATGTATAAAATTTTTTTTAATTTATAATTTTTAAATATTAACTTTAATTACACGCCATCTAAAATAAGAAACAATTGATTACCTGGCTTGGCTTCTTGAAGCTGGTTTTGCCCTTTTTTTTCCTCGGAAAGCTCCATCAACGTCATGCATGCGCTGTTTTCCTGTGTCAATGATTTGCCTTCTAGAAAGTCCACGGTTTTTTGTAAATCATTTGAAAGAAATTTCTGGAACTGGAAAAAAACCTGATTTCAAGGTTGTAATTTGGATTTTTTTTCAAGTGACAAGCAAATAAGATTTTTTAATATAATAATTTTTTTAATCCAAGATGTGAAAAAGTCTGGGAACTTTCATTTTAATTATTTTACCATGATTAATTAATAATTAGCACAATTTTCATTTAACGAGGTTTTAAATAAAATATTTTATTAATACCCAATTTTTATTTATACAAAAATTTATAAGATTTAAAAGGTTTTTTATTAAATATAACAAAACGAGTTTTTAAAAAATTTAAACTATTTTTTTCTTTTCAAATTCATAATTTAGAAAATGCTGGAAAAAGAAACTCTCAAAATCTAAAATCATAAAACATTTGGAATGTGCAACAAACACAAAATATATCACACGAGTGAACCAACCTCAGTCACACGTGTAAAACAATTAAAGCAAGCAAAAACCAAAACGACAAGTTTCAGTGTCGTCGAGAATTATTTATTTTTAACAAACCTTCCTGCTCGGATATAAATTGATTCACACGCTTCTCAAAAACACTTCAAAAATTTTGCTTGCCTCTTAAATATATATTTTTTTAAAGCATCAAATGAAGAACGACAACTCGGAATTATCGTTTTGTCCTAGCTTTAACTGCTACTCCTCCGATAAGAATCTCGTTGGTATCGCTGCTTCAGTATGCCGCGAAAACGACGGCGTTTTGGATGATGAAGAATTCGAGTTCTTTAATAATCTCTGTGAGAGTAGTGAAACGCCGTCGTTTCCTATCTTCAATCACGATCTGTTGTTGAAAGGCGAGGAGGAGGGTGGTGAAGATGACGATGATGGGGTGGAAGAGGCTATTCGGATTCCGTTGAGGAATCTGTTCATCGGTGATAGAGATCTTCCGTTGTCATCTTCATCGTCGGAGGCGGACGAGCTTGAAGGACTGCCAACTGGAACGTACTGTTTTTGGAAACCGAAACCATCCCCGGAATCGTCGCCGAACATGTGCAAGAAGAGCAAGTCCACAGGATCATCATCTTCAAAACGGTGGCGTTTAATAAAGGATTTGCTTAAGAGAAGCAACAGCGACGGCAAAGCCTCGTCTTCATCGTTTTTGTTTTCGAATTTTGATCATAAAAGTACAATGGAGAAGAAGCATGAAGAAAAGGCAAGTAAGAAAACAGCGACGGCGACGAAGAATAAAAGTGAAGGTGTAGTAACGGCGACGAAGATGAAGAGGGTTGAGAAAGCGTCGGCGCATGAAGTTTTTTACATGAGAAATAAGGCGTTGAAGGAAGGAGAAAAACGGCGGTCGTATTTGCCATACAGGAAGGACTTGGTTGGAATTTTTGCTAATGTAAATGGTTTAGGTAGAAATTTGACTCTTTCTAAGTAAAAAAAAAAAGAGTACTTCTTATGTTCGTAAAATTAAAAAAAAAAAAAGTTTAGATTATTGAGAATGTAAATAGTGAGGAGAAATTAACTTTTTGTGTTTGTTTACCTTATTCTTTTGACATAAGCTATATAAAAAAGGAAAATTTTTTAATAAAAAAGCAAAGAGCAAACACTAAATTAATATTTTATAAAAATATTATTAATAACATGCAGTTATAAAAATTTTTATTTTTATTAAAATTTTTAATTATATTACTTTTATATTTTTTTGTTATTTTTATATCATATCTAAAATTATTAAATCTAATTTTTATAATTTTTTTTCTAATTTTTAATTTTCAGGTGAAATGGATCACAACCAATTTTGTCTGCACTTTATTAGCTTGTAATCAATTATTAAGTATGCACCCTTATCTTATCCTTGGTTTTTTTTTTTAATAATTTGTATAATTTTCATTTTTTTTACCAAAATTAGTTTTTAATTAATAAACAAATAGATCATCTTGACCACTAAGATGAGTTAATTTGTTTATAATTTAATGCTATGACACTCAAAATATTCTAAGATGGATTTGATTTATTAAAGATTAATCAAAGCCATCATCTAGAAGCTGTCACTTAAGATAGGAGACAAAAAATAAAAAAAATAAATAATTATAATAACAACGTAGGAGTTGAAATTAAAGATTTGGACACTTGCAAATTATATAAATAATAAATTAATAGACACCCAATGTTGTTACTATTTTAGGATAATAGTGATTAAGGGATGACAACTTGTTTACTTTGGATTATAAATATAACTAAAATGTGGACATTTAATGCATTGAAAGGGATATTTTTATTGGTAGTTTTGCATACAACAACATCATGGGATAGGTGGGTGGGAAAGGGAGGATTTGAAGATAGATTTGATAATTTTAAATGTAATATGAATATGATATAAATAAAGGATAATAGATGATATAATTTAAAATTTTAATAAAAATTAAATATGAGTTTAAAAAATAAAATATATATATTTCATGTATTTGTATTGATACAAATCATAACATGTAATTTTTATATAAAATATAATTTAAATAAATAAATTTTAATATTTTACATTATACAAATACACGAATTATAAAATCTATTTAAAAAATATGCAAAAAAAAAAAAAATGATGGATAGGTTGTTCACAAAATTTTCAAGTTCCAACATCATTTTGTATATGGCTTCCTTTATTAAGAAAAAGAAAACATATGACCAATGGGATGATTCAGTTTGAAAGGGGATGGGCTTTTTTCCTTTTTTTCAATCAAAGACAGATTTTTGTACCGAATATTTGGACAATAAAATTTTGAATATACTAAATAAATATAAAATATTACACCTTTAAGATTGGAAAAAAAATCGACTAAAGTTCACAAATAAAAAAATATCTCTAATTATATTATATAAAAAAAAAGAAAAGAACCGTTAATTTTAATTATGAAAGTTTTGTTGAAAATTCTATAAAAAAATATTTTTAATGGAAAAATTAATATGCTTATAAATAATAAAAATTTTAATAAAATATAAAAAAAAAGATATAAGATAATTGTAAGATTTTATCTGAATAGACATCTCATAAGATTAAAAAAAATTGAAATGATACTTATAAGTATACGTGTTTGAATATTTATTTGGATGGACTAAAAGAAATTGAAAGGTTTCACATGAATATATATATATATATATGTATGTACGTATTTATTTGAGTTGAAAATATTTTATAAAATTATAAAAAAAAATGGCCATGAATATTGACTGTATATGAGTGAGTGACAGATTGATTTATTGATATATTTATAATTTTTTTATTATTAATGGATTTTTTTATTTGTGAAAGTAAATTATTATAGATTGAATTATATTAAATTATTATATCTTGTATGAATGATTTATTGAATTTCGTTTTCACTTACTCGAATGTTTATTGATAAAAGGTTTTTTGCTTAACAAGTTTAATTCCTAATAATTTTGATTAAAAAAAAAGGATTTTTGGAGTCTACATTATTTTGCTATGTTACGTGTTTGGTGAGCTTCAAGCTTCCAGGTTTGAGCACTTTGCTGAACCTGGATCACTGGTGACCATAAAGTCGGCAATTAAAGGAAAAATGAGCAGAAAATGGGGGGTCTTGGGGTCCAGTAGGGTCGCAACCATTTCTTCTTGGCCTCTTCCGATCATTCACCACATCATCAAATTTGTCTAATTTCCATCATAGTTTCTTGTCATTTTCCAAAGAAAAAAATCCCCCCCCCCCTCCCCACTTTGCACCGATCTAAGAAGATGTGAAAAGAAAAAGAAGGATTCTTTCCTTTCCCTTTCTTTTTATCTCTTCAAAAGTATAGGAAAAGAAAGTCGTTTAAAAGACTTAAATTCAAATTTAATTGAATTTTATTTTTAAATTTGAATCCAACTTGTAATTTAATTGAATAAGTTAAGTTTAGATAAAATATATTCCATAAAATTGTAAATATAAAATTTAAACATTATAGTTTTATTATTTATTAATAAATATATCTTTTTTAAAAAAAGTTTGAAAACTCATCGGTATTAAGTAAAGTGATCGATTTAATTGATTAAAGTTCATTTTTTTTTTTTTAAAGAGATATTATATTCGAATTCTATTGGTGATCACTTATTGTAATCATCTTGAATATATAATTTGTAAACATCTATTTTAAATTGTCAGATACGATACATCTTACAATTTATCTATTCATAAATTTTTTTTTACCAAAAAAATATTCAAATTTAATTTAATTTATTAGTCAAGTCAAAACTTAATTAAATAATAAATGAATCAAACTCAAATTTAATTAAACTTGATTTCTTTTGTCTTGAATTATATGCTTTATTCCATTCAACATTATTTTATTTCGTCACCTTTTAGAGGCTGAAAGGCAAACCTCAAGATGCTTCCAAAAGGAGAAAAGGATGTTGCATGGCTATTCCACATCAAATCATTTTGTTACTTTCCAATTAGGCCGGTGGCTAGCTGGATTCATGGTGAAATGTGGCACCATCAAAAGCCAACTTAATTGAGCTACGCAATCATTCTTATCTGATTTTTATTTAATGGAATTCAATATAAAATATTTTCACAAATAGCAGTTAAAAAGAAAACTTTACATAATGATAAATTATCCCCTCAAACTTTTATTTTGAATGTCTGATTATTAGATATAATAATTTTAAATATGATATAAAAATAATACGAATAAAAAATATTATTAATACTTTTTAAAATTTTAATAAAAATCATAAATAAATTTAATAAAATAAAAATATATATTTTATATTTTTGTATTAACACGAACTATAATATATAATTTTTATGTAAAATATAATATAAATATATAAAATTTTAATATTTTATACTATACAAATACACAAATTATTAAATTTATCGATTTCTCGCAAATGGTGTAGAGTAATTATTTAATAAGTAACAAATTTATGAGTATTTATTTTTTGTTCCGGTTTTGACGGGTGACATTAAATTTTTTATTTTGTTTGATTTTTCATAAAAAAATTAAAAATCTATCTATTTTTCTTGATGAACCAAGAACAATATTTAATTATTTCAATCTACTGACTGCCAAATTAATATTTTATTAAATTGTTATTGTCACTCTCACTGCAACAATGAAAAAAATTTTTGTTGAGTACTCATTCTTAGTTTCACAGTCAAATCTAATTTACTATTATTGGTGAAAGTAACTTTTACGTTTAAATTTTCCTTTTGATTCAACAGGTTTACTTTAATGCTAAATAATAAAAAAATTGTAGCATTTCATAAGTTTGATAATATTAACTTAAGTTCAAATGGAAAATTTTCTTCATTTTCTTTGGCATACAATTTCATCTTGGTTGACTCATTAAAAAAATAAATCATCTTTTTTTTTTTGCCAGAAAAAATAGAAGCCCACTAGACTATAGCTTGTGTCTTTTGGGCTTTTGACCCAAAACTTTTCAGAATCCTGACTCTGAGTAGCATTGGCCCAAAAATAAAAAAATATTTTTAAATAGTAATGAAGTAACGAAAATATTTAATTAAATTTGATAATTTAAAATATTATATTATGATATGATATAAAATTAATATAAATAAAAAATATAAAAATAATACGATTTAAAATTTTAATAAAAATTATTTAATAAATTTAATAAAATAAAAAATATTTTATATTTTTATATCGACGTAAATTTTGATATTCAATTTTCGTAAAAAATATATAAATACATAAATTATTAATATTTTATATGAGGTAAGTATACTAATTATCAATTTTATATTTAATACTTATTTAATGAGAAATTGTTTTTGATCCGAAATGCAAGGATCATGTCATGGTTTTTAAATGAAAACTTTGCAATTATGCAATACAAAGTAACTTATAAGCAGTTCAACTCAACGTAAATTAAGATGCCGTGTATAACAAAAAATTGGATAAACTAAAAGTAGATTAAGAATTTAAAAAATATATAGCCCACCCATATATATATATAAATTATCAAATATATTAACAATTAAATTTTTTAATTTTACGAGCAAAATTAAAATAATAATATATATCTCTTTATATATATTTAAAAACTAAAAAGTTAATTAAAAAATAAGACATATAATATCATTTTAATTTCATTTATAAAATTAAAAAATTTCACTATCATTATATCAAATAATTTATTATATATATAAAATTTATTGTAAATCATCAACTTCATAGTTTATTTATGCATGTTTGTACATTTAGAATTGATTATTTGTTTTTATATTTATTTAATTAATTACATATATTAATTAATTGGAGCTTACATATAAAAGTTACATATATTATTCACAATTAATTGTGATAATAAATTCATAAAAAAATCCTTTTATGGCATATAAAATAAATCAATTAAAAGCATTATCATGTAAAACTAATATATAAAAATGTTTATATTTCATTTTCCGTACATCAATTCTTCGAGCTGCCTTCAATTATTATAGAGAAAAGCCGTCGCCATACGTAACACTCAAATAGCAAACGTGTCAGTTCTGGATTGGTTACACGTCCTTCTCTTAATAACCTCCAAGATCCAAAAGATTTTTTTATCAAAGCAAAATGAAAAATCTACACGTGGCAGATTAACGTATAAAAGCTACAAGAACTCATGCAACCGGGCCCCATATTTACCACGTGGACCACGGGTTTCTTACCAGGTCTCCTGGCTTTGCTTTTTTTATATTCTTCATCTGTTCATCATCTCTTTAATCGCCGGTGCCATTTTTCTTCTTTGCAAACGATGTCGTTTCCGCTGCAACTCTTCAGTTGGAGAGCAGCCCTCGGTCTTCGCAGCGGAGAATCGAGCTTCATCAATGGAGTTTCGGTTAAAACGACGACGAAGACGCAGAAGGAGAAGAAGAGGATCAAGGTTTTAGCAATGTCGAGTGAAAATTCGGTGTTGAAGATGAACTTGAACGAGTATATGGTTACTCTAGAGAAACCTCTCGGAATTCGCTTCGCTTTATCGCTTGATGGCAAAATCTTTGTTCACGCTCTCAAACGCGGAGTAATGCAATTATCATTTTATTCAGAGTCGTTTTTTTCAAATGAAAAATCAGTTACTATTTTTGTGTAATTTTTCTAAAATAAATTATATTTACAGAGTAATGCGGAGAAATCGAGGATAATAATGGTAGGAGACACGTTGAAGAAGGCGAGCGATTCATCTGGTGGAAGGTTTACTGAGATCAAGAACTTCGGCGATGCTCGGTAAGAGATTTTCTAGGTTTTAAATATATATATTTTAATTTTTTTGAAAAATTTATGATTTTTTTTATGCTTAGTTATCAGTTGTTAATATTTTGTGAATTGATTGGGAAATCTCAATGAAATTACTGAAATTATCTCTTTAGTTAGTAAATTACGAGTGTGAACTTCGTTTGCAATGCTGAAGAAGCTTTGAATGACTGAGTTGTTTAAAGCATGCTATAGCGTGCGATTCACTTATGGTTTGGTTAATTTCAAGTTCTAATACCCTTGAATTGTTGTTGTTTGACCCAGAAAAATCTTGCTAGGGGATTTTAAATCATTGTAGCAAGGACTTGATATAGCAACTAGTTTCATATTGGAGGTAATCTTAGCTGGAGGGGGGAGTGAAGTAGTATTTTCTGCTAACTATGGTTTCTAATCAGTTTATTTGAGTTTTTGTTGATTGTAACTGGCCATGTATCTTTTGTCTAAGCTAGCTTTGATAAATGTTAAGGTAATATTTATCATTCATCTTTGCAATCTTGCCCTGTTCATCAATGTTTCTTTATCTTGTCAGTTTTTGGTTTGCTTTCTTCAGGGTGATGCTGACAGAGAAGACAGGATCTTTTAGTCTGGTCCTTGAGAGACCCTTCACTCCTTTTCCAATTCATGAACTGCATCTCTCGAATGATCTTGACCTTTTGTTTAATAGAGGTCGTATGCCTGTGGCAACTTGGGACAAATCTATATTGGCATCAAATTTGCAAAGTTCCACTGAGGGTGGTGGAAATTCTGGTTTTGTAATATTTTCCTCAAAGTTTCTAGCTTCAAAAGGGTTGAAGTTTTTGAACAATCAAAATGGACACCTTCATTCAAAATTGCAGAAAAACATTCTTGCTTCACCCATTAGCCAACTTCTTTGTATTTTTTCTGAGGAGGAGCCTGGAGATGGAGAATGGGCTCATGGAAGCTTCCCACTGGAGGAATACGTTAAGGCACTGGATCGTTCCAAAGGCGAGCTTTACTATATCCACTCCCTTGGAATGCGTTACAGTAAGGTGCAATGTACATCTCTCTAATGTTTGATAGCACTTCAAAGCCATGGATTTTGTTGTTTCTCTCACCATCTCACTGTGCGCTGCTTCTCTCTCTCTTTCTCTCACGCACATCCTCTCCCCCTATTTTCCTTATTTCTTTTTTTTTTTTCTTCTTCTTGAACCTCTACTGTTTGTTCTGTTAGATTACAGAGCAGATATATGTGGGGTCATGTATACAGACAGATGCTGATGTAGAAACTCTCTCTGATGCGGTGAGTGTATACAGACCCGCTATTTGAGCAGAACCATTTGCTTTTGATTGTGTGATATTAGAGTATTAATCTTGCAAGTATGATGCTTTTATTTAGAGATTGATTTCTGGCTGATAAATTTGTTATATATCGGTTATTCGACCAAAATCTTTGATTCATTTTGTCATTGAAACTGGATTTTATTACAGAGTTTTTAAAGGAACTTCGTAAAGAAAAAGATATGCTTGACACATCATTTCATCACTTGTTCTGAAATTGTGGGACCCAAACACTAACAAGTCTCAATGATCATGAATCATGGGCATTATTCTACACTCTACAATTACCTCAGCTGCATTATCTTTTGATAAGTGAATCTAGTCTCTTATTTTAGCCATTATAATTGCTTGTCTGATCTGTGATTATTTTTCTGCTTCATATTAAAAGATGTCCCAGTAAGACAGTCTCCATTGTGTGTCAATTTTGGTGTATTTTTTTTCCTTTCTTCTTGGTCTGAGGCCGATAGTTTTTTTCAGCCAAATGAGTTTTCATAGCATCAAGTTTTATATTTCCCATTCCATGTCTCCCATTTAACAACTTGGAATTCTGCACCAGGGCATCACTGCTGTAATAAATTTTCAGAGTGGAATTGAAGCAGAAAACTGGGGAATCAATTCCAAGTCAATCAATCAGTCATGCCAAAGATTGAATATCCTAATGATCAATTTTCCTATAAAGTAAGCAAAAATGATGGTTTAACATTCTGTTGATTTCTGAAAGAACTTATCCATGCAAGTGGTTCATTTTTAATCATATGAACTCTTTTGCATGCCATAGCAGTGAAGTTTTCAATAAGCTCATGTGCCTTTAACTTGTAAATGATGTTGCTCTATGATAATTTTCCTTTCTATTCTAAGAGGGGAAATGGATGCATGAATTCACAATGATTCAGCATATATTATTGTCATCATTTGGCATTGGTAGCCCGACATAGCTGATTAATTTGCCTCTGTTTTCTACTTCAGGGATGGAGACTCGTTTGATATGAGGAAGAAATTACCGTTCTCTGTTGGGCTCTTATTACGCTTGTTGAAAAGGAGCCACCGTGTCTTTGTTACTTGTACTACTGGTTTTGATCGATCACCGGCTTGTGTAATTGCATACCTGCATTGGATGACTGATACTTCACTTCATGCAGCTCATAATTTTGTCACTGGATTGCATACATGCCGGCCAGACAGGTACTTTGCTATAATGTTGTTTTGTGTATGTGACTTTGTGCTTGGTATATCAAGGAGCTTTTGTTGTGATTTTCCATGTTCCTTGCTTTAATTCATTATTGTAGAGATTCATTTCCTTATTCACAGCTTTACCTCTGCTCCTTCAGCATTCTTCTAGTATGATTCTTGGTGTTAAGTAGTGCTATCTCATATCTGTTAAGTCTTGGATTGCCTGTGGTCTTATATTCTAGTTGGGCCACTGCACCTATAGCCAATTGGTTTTAGGTTGGATGCTTAACATGATATAAGAATCCAAGTTCTGTTATGTTATTCCTGTCTGTTACTGCTTTTGAGATTGTCACAAGGCCTATGTTTCCTGCACTGATGGAGCCTATTAAGTGGTGTTATCCCACATCTGTTAAGTCTTGGACTGCATGTGGTCTTATATTCAAGTTAGGCCTCTCTATCCATTTCCAATTGGTTTTAGGTTGGATGCTTAACACTTGACCGAGATTCTTATTTGATGGAGTCAATGTATTTCTCAATCTTTTCTGTCCAAGATGGGAAAAGAAACTTTCAAGAAAGAAAGAAAAACTTCTATTAGTATTTGGAATAAGCAGATAAAATATTTAGTCAAAAAATGAAGGGATTTTAGTGGCTCTCTTACTGTTTTATTATAGTTACACTAACACACGTTAGGGAACTAAAATTATATGTGCTTTGCTGATCTTCAGTATATGTTATGTTTTCAAGAATCCGTAAAACTATTGATTATTGCAACACATAGGCCAGCAATTGCTTGGGCAACATGGGATCTTATAGCTATGATAGAAGGTGGCAGACATGATGGACCCGCAACACATGCTTTGACCTTTGTGTGGAATGGCCATAACGAGGTAATTTATTAAATCTTGCCTTTCTTGTTTCTGCATTGGGCTTTTCTGATGGATAGGAAATCCCACATCCTAAGGGCCATAATGGCATAATCCCTTCCTGGAATTTTATATTCCCAAAGGCTTTTCCAACTAAACTGGTAGGTACCATGTAGGATTAACCCTATAATGTAGTCTGAAGCATCCACGGTTTTAAGCCATTTTTGTTACTAAAGTGGGGTGCCTAGATGACAACTGGTCTTTGTGAAGCTTTTTTCAAAGTTCTTCCGGTCTTTGTCTTACAGGGGGAGGATGTGTGCTTAGTTGGAGATTTTACGGGAAATTGGAAAGAACCAATTAAGGCTACCCACAAAGGTGGAGCAAGATATGAAGTTGACATTAGACTTCCACAAGGAAAGTAAGTGGTCTTCATTCTATAACTGTTTTCCTAATTGCTCCTTAGTTTTCAAATTATCTCCACTTAACCAGAAAGAATATTATTACCTGGGGCTATATGGTTGATTCTCTACAGAAATTATTGTTTTTAATTATTAATCTAAGCAGGCATGGTTAAAGAATTCTCTAACCCTGCAGCTCTTGCTGGACATCATGCAGTTGGTTAATATGTTATTATAACATTAAAAGCAAGTTGTCTCTAGCACAAAAGATTTTCACTCACATTTTATTAATGTCGCTTGCCTTTAGATATTATTACAAGTATATTATTAATGGGAACTGGCGGCATTCAACATCTTCACCAACAGAAAGGGATGAGAGGGGGAACATTAACAATGTGATTACAATTGGTGGTACTGCAAGTGTGAGGCCCATAATTAAACCACAAGAGAAGGTTAGTTTCTGCAAACATTTTCTAGTAACTTCATGGGGAAAAAGAGAGCCAAATTAGGAAAACAAAAAATGAAAAGAAGCAAAAATTATGGATTTACAGATTTGATAGACGATAAAAAAAGCCAAAGCTTTTAGCAATATTATTGTAATTTTTATTATAAATCCTTGCTGACTATTGTTTGCCTTTGATGTCTTAGGATGCCAATGTTATAAAGGTGATAGAGAGGCCCTTGACAGAGAACGAGCGATTCATGCTGGCAAAAGCAGCCCGTTGCGTTGCGTTCTCTGTCTGTCCTATCAGACTAGCCCCCAAGTAGTTTTGGTTGCTATAAATCCACAAGGTAAATTTTTGTTTGCTTCTCTCCTTGAGACTTGAAATTAGCATGTGTCAATTCCTTATGCAAATAGTATTTGCCCTTCAGTATGATGAGTACATGTCCAATGTAATTCTTCTAGCTTAATTTTGGTTCTATACATTTGTTTGGTCTCTTTGCGAATAAAAAGGTTAATTGCTATCCTTATAGCACGTCCAAGGGTTCAGTGATTTAGGTTTTGATCACATAAAATGTAGTCAATTTTTGATAAATGCATGGGCGGTTTGCATATTCAGTATCTAAGTATGGTCACTGCTTTTTGATTTTAGTATTTTGATTATTAACTGCTATTATAAAGCATGTTTAAACTTTTATCACCGAGGAAAACTCTTCTTCAATCATTTTTTAGGGTTGAGTAAAATCATACTTTACCCATGGAAACGAACCAACTTGGAGAAGAAGAGCATTTTGTCTCTTATTTATTTATTTATTTATTTTTGGTTCAGAGGAAGCTGTAAGTATTGATGTAAGTATTGAGACTTAAACTTTAGACTTGTGAGATACAACCTTTTAAGGGTGATTTAATGAACCAAATAAACTAAATTTCAGTTTCAGTATTTTGTCCTTCAGCTCGTAGCCATCTATGGCCCGAGGAAACTACAATAACAGGACAACACTAAAAGGTACATGACAGGAGGTAAAGGTATGTATCAAAGCCTGAGTTCGGACATGTTGAAAAGATGACAAACAAAGATGTTGGCATAATCTTTTTCTTTGCTAAATATGTCGACATGATTACAAGGACCAAATGGTACATATAAGAACATGTAAGTCTCCATTTTGTACCTACAACGTTACACTTTCAAGCCTTAAAATAGGAAACATGGTGCAGTTCGAATGCTGGCATTGCTGAGAAAAAAAAAAAAAGACAATACATTGGGTTGTATCAGAGCCGATCGTGCTCTTTACATGCTGTGCTTTTTATTCAGTAAACATGATAAGGATTTTTTCAAAAAAAAAAAAAGGAGGGAATAATTTGATCATTCTCTCGTATAAGCAAGAGGGCAAGATGGGTTAAGCCTCCGCAGACCGTGTGTGCTCAACAATGATTTAGCCTTTAAGGAACAAGAATTTGGTGAGCACCAAAAGAGATTATTATTAGTTTGTTTGGGAAGAGAGATATTTGAATTTATATCGATATCATGCATTAATCATCGAACTTAATGCTTCAAAGTGCGGGAAATGAGATTAATGACTTTCAATCAATAGAAAAAATTTTAGCATCCATCCTTAATTGTATCATAGCCATTTTTATAGTTCATTTGACCATTTTTCATACCAATTGATCCACCCTTTCTCAAATTATAAGATACAGATTCCTCATTTTCTGGTAACTTCTAATTCAGAAGACAAATTTTGAGAACTTAAGGATGATCATAAATCGCAATGTATTCAATATTAGTGAATAGTAGTTTGTTAGAGGTCACAAAAATGTTGTTGCAATGCCGAAAAAGCTTTTGCAAGACGAAGCCATAGCTGGAAGCCTGGAATTTAATGTTCACATCCAAAATCTCTCAAAACAGCAGCTGTGCCTGACACAACACGAGACATGAGCAAAGCCATGTATTAGAGATAGGGCCTTATCTCCATGGAAACTACCCCATCATTATAATATTCACTCATCATGTCCGTCTCTCCTGCACTATTGATTTTTCATTCTAAACATTATCCCATCTTAGCAGTTTTGTCTTAACATCATCTTCTCATATCCATACAAATGCTACTATTTTTGGGGGGTATGTATCATCATAAGATGGAGATGGGATGGGACCGGAAACAACTAGTTTTGATTTTCATTGATATCAAGCAGTAATATGATTAAAGAACAAAAAAAAAAGGTAAAATTAACATCTTAGGGATTTACTAATCTCAAGATTGGGATGAATACCACATATATGTATATATGTATATATATATATATATATATATGTAAAACTTATTTTCCTTTCTAATTAATTGAGATCATATTTTAATATGTTGGAAGTTGTGAAAAATTAATTTTTTATGAATTCGTTCAAGTTCGACATAAATAAGAGTATCATTTGAATTGACTCGGAAAAAAAAAAATTAGAAAAGCCTAAGAATCCCTTGTCCTGAAAAAATAATTTTGTTGATCCAATTGTTCAGTTGAAGGGAAGGGAAGAAATAAGGCATGCATATATTTCTACAGTTACAACAACTGTAGGGAATCCAGGCAAATGTGACAATTTAAGACCACAAAAATAATGGATTTATATACGTGGAGCATGATCCTTGCATGCATGTCCCAACATGCAAAAAGTAAAATATAAGATGATGAACATATTAAAACATACTAGCTAAATTCATGATGAAGAGAGACCAGAGAAAATTTATCGCCAAGTCCAAACCTCATCGACAAGAGTAGAAGCCCCCATTCACCAAGCTTTCGCTTTCATTATCCGGTGAACAATTGTCAATAAAATATGGTATAAATCCAGTATAAATCCTATGACCCTTTGTGACAATGTCGACGGCTTCCATCAACGGTTGGTGCCTCACCTCCACCTCTCCTTCTACTCAACTTTCTTCTCTCCGGAGAGCCACATTGCGGCCTTCTACGGTTGCCACCCTTAACTCTTCCGCCTCTCCTCCTACCTTCATAGGCGACCGCCCGGTCTTCGCCGCTCGTACTCCCTTGCTCACCCCTTCTAATTGGGTACATGAATGTCTCCCTTTTTTCTTTCGTACAAAATTTTCTAATATAATTAATGTTAATATAGTCGAACATTTTATTAAATAAATAATATATTTTTTATTTAATCAAAAAACATACCCAAAGAATAGGGTTCTATCCTCGCTAGAAAAAAAAAATCATTGTCATGCAAGATTAAAACGCGTCAATGTGGCGACGTGGAGATTTTCTACATGAAAACATGGCACTCTAATGGTGATAATGCCTACATAAGCAACTTACGGCCTGGATTATAACACATGTGCGGCACTGATTAACCCAAAAAAAACCAATCAAACTCTCTTTTTGGCTAAATAACGTCAATCAGTAAAACTGAATTATGAGAATTTAGTTAAATTGATTTTCTTTTACCCATCAAAGAACTTAAAGATAGATAAGTGAACATGGAGTAACCACATGTTCAAAAAATTTGTCTGAATTTTTAATTGGGGTTTGAAAATTCGCAGAGAGAAGACATGGGAAACAAGTCATACGAGGAAGCCATTGATGCTCTAAAGAAACTGCTCAGGTAATAGAAAAAAAAAATAGTACTAATGTTCTGTCTCTATCTTCACTCTTTTAACTGATCTTTAACTTTCTTTGTTTTTTTAACATTACTACAGTAATGTACTTCTTCTGTTCTGTACTTTTGATCTCTGATTCAATCAAGACCGTCAGTCAAACCAAATATTGTTGGCCCACCACAAAATTAATGTCGTTGACTTTTATTTTAGTTTGTACCATAATAAGTTGGTAACATTTTTATATATAAAATACAAATATGTAAAAAGATTAATTGACAAAGATTTCTCAGCAAAACTTTAAATAAAATTTCACATTGAATTATTCACTTAAGTGAGACAATATATTTCATGAGAAATTAAAAGCATTGTTTTTGTTTTTGATTGTACTGAGAAAGGAGAATTGAAAGCTGTAGCAGCTGCAAAGGTGGACCAAATTACAGCTGAGTTTAAGACAACATCATCTGATGGCAAACCTTTTGATTCTGTTGTGAAGTTGAAAGAAGGATTCATCTACTTCAAGAAAGAAAACTATGAGTTAGTCATCACCCATTTTCCTACATTTCATCAATTTTCTTCTACTTTGTTCTTTAATAGTCTTGCGTCAGCATGTCCAAATGATATCTTATTGTAAAACAAAAAAATTTGAAAGAAAAATTTTTCCTAAACATCTTTTTCATTGATAAAATTAATAAATTCGTGACATATATATATATATAAATATCACGAATTTATTAATATATATATCTATTATAGACACTTTGAAAAAAAAAATCCACCAATGCGAGCTTTTTATTCACTAACTGCCTTTTTTGCAGAAAAAATCCTGCTTTGTATGCTGAGCTTGCAAAAGGTCAAAGCCCAAAGGTATATATGTTCATTCAAAATTTCAACTTGAGAATTTCAATTTGGAGGTCTGAGACACAAATTTTGACATCAATGTTTATGAATCTCTCGTTATATACGTATGCTGAACCGAAGAATGTTGGCATATATTGTTGCAGTATATGATTGTTGCCTGCTCGGACTCCAGGGTCTGCCCATCTCATGTGCTGGACATACAACCAGGGGAAGCTTTCGTGGTTCGCAATGTTACTAATATGGTGCTACCATATGATCAGGTACCTTAATTTGGACCCAATTTGCTTGGCCAATATATATTAGAAGTTTAGAACCATGCTCTTGACTCTGTCTATTTTAATGACAGACTAAATACTCTGGAATTGGAGCTGCCATTGAAATGCAGTTTTGCATCTTAAGGTGAACTATGGAACAGGTTTTTCTATGGGTCAGATATATGAACTATGGAACAATTTATTCTTGGAATCTCATTAAAATGGATGTGTTAATCTTTTGCAGGTACAGGAAATTGTGGTAATTGGGCACAGCGCCTGTGGTGGAATCAAGGGGCTCATGTCTTTCCCATACGATGGAACCACATCTACGTAAGGCCTTACTGTTTACAAAAGGTTTTTGCATTACTAACTAAAATGATGGACTGGAGACTTAGATCAGTTAGTTCATGCAACCATTCTTAATCTAGGATTCAAGTCCCAACAGCTATAACCATTTCCCTTATCCCCAAGCAGCGGTCTCCTTTGTACAAAAGAACATGGATGTACTAACTAAAATTTACTCTAATCTGATTGAAATTTGCAGTGATTTCATAGAAGATTGGGCTAAGACTGGAATGCCTGCTAAGACCAAGGTGCTAGCAGAAAACAGTGGTGAGCCTCTGGGAGTTCAATGTACATGTTGTGAGAAGGTAGACACCTTCTTTCTCAGCTTCTTTGCCATTACCTCTAACTGTTTACACTTTTCCTTTGGAATGATGTTAATACACATTGCAACAAAAATCATAATTCGGTTAAATATTAGTAATTGCAATCAGAACAGATTCTGAAACAAAGCATTGGTAGTGAATGTTACTTTATGTGCGTGAGTGACACCGGCCGCGGCTCCTTTGATCTATAAATTCTCATTAGATTTACTTTTACTAAGAAGCATAAACGTACTTCAAATGACTTTATATATGGCTGCATTTTTTTTCGTTTTCTTTTCCTTTGTTAGGTAAAAGATGTCGCCACAATACTTCATTGGAAGCTCTAGGGACATGCTTAGAGGCCATCCCTGCAAAGATGAGGCTCTGATCTTCACTTTTTCTCACACTATAATCTGAACTGAGTTTTGTAGACTTGAGACATTTTCAAGAACTGGGGTCCTTCAACTGTTTTAATAACGGTCAGCCAATGTTCCTTAGCATATTAATATGTGGCTTGATTAATGCATCAGCAGAAAAAATATAGAACAAATCCATGATTGGCTCATGCCACAAAACCTTACAATACATTCAAGTATAGGAACCTTATAAACAGGTCAAAAATGAATAAACAGAGTTTTATAACGAAGGGTTTGATCAATTTTCACAGCTTCACAGGTACTTGTGCGTCAGTGGAATGAAGTAACATAATGATCCAAGAGTCAGATATAAAAGATAGTGTTCTGTCGCTGGAAATGGCAGGACATAATAATGGATCAAAAATCAATTTACTGTTTAAATGTTTATGAGAAATATTTATTTACAGTGAGTGAGATTGATATGTCAACATCTCACTCTTCCATTATTAACAATAGGGGGCCGGTTCTCTGGTGTGTTCATTCAAGAACTTGAAGGATTTATAATTGCCAATAAAGACAGTCATGTGGGCATGTTTTTCTTTAATGGTGTAATATTGCAAACTCTTTAATATCATTACGTCTACAATGCTGTTCCTTTCTTTTGCCATGCTAAGGAAATCTTTGCATTTTCTCCATGCAGATGCCCACCTCGGAAATAAATGGATCAATTCTTTACTGATACTCTTGCTATAAATGTAAACTGCCGATATAGAAAAAGTTTAAGAAATTGAATTTGACCTTACACAGTGAAAACTGCAAATGTTTGTGGTTGCATGTGGATGTCATATATTGAGTAAAAATTTATTAGGCCGTCTTTTTTTTTTTTTTTAATACAAAGAGGCGGCTACTTGAAGATAGGATGAGGGATGTAAGTGTTGGGATTCAAACTCTGAACCTACTAGATTTTACCTCTTAAGGGTGACTGCATAAACTAACTGAATTGCCATGTTACCTCTAAAACTAAACATCCTGATCTTCCAGCAAAACATTAAATGAAAATAGTTTTACAGTTAATGAAGTGGTTTTAAGGTATCACAATGGATTAAAAGTTGGACAGAGGAGTTAAATTCAATAGGATAAAGCTAATTAAATAGTCATTATTGACAAATTAATTGGCAAAGGTCCTAGCTATCAAGCAAGATCAAAAGAAGAATATTCATCAAAGTACTCCATCATGGAAAGGGTACTTAGCTCCAAATCATTATCAGGAATCCAGAAAGGTTTCATATACCTCTCACTGATCACTGATTCTTGAGTATTGTTTAAGACCTGATCAGTGGATTGCTGGCTGCTACTTTGATCCACTGCTATTTCCATGGCTCGACTGGTGGCACCATCACCTTGACTTGGGTCTATGGCTGCCTGATCTGACACGTTCACTTGCTTGGAACTTTGACAACAATTAACCCTTTTTCGGTTTTTCTCTTTGATCCCTAGTTTCTTCCTCGAATGACAATTCCAGTAAGTTTTCACTTGATTGTCAGTTCGTCCTGGCACCCGTTTAGCAATCAAAGACCACCTGTTTCCAAGAAGCTTATGAAGTCTAATTATAAGGTCATCTTCTTCCTCAGAGAAATCGCCTTTCTTCACGTTGCGGCTCAGGTAATTCATCCACCTTAGCCTGCAACTCTTCCCACTTCTCTTCAAACCTGTATGAGGAAGAACAAAGATTAACCATTCACTTCTGTTGAAAAAGGAAGATCAGCACAAAGAAAAAAAACAGAAGAAATGAACTGTGTTATGACCTGTCTCGTTGGCTATTTTATTCCACTGTCCTTTTCCATGCAGCTTGACATAATCCATGAGTAGCTTGTCTTCCTCCACTGTCCATAACCCTTTTTTGTATGGAATTTCACCTTCTTTTATCATAGTACTTTGTAGGAGTTCTTGCTGTTGCAGAAGCCAAAGAGCAAAAATGATTTTGTATCAGTAGAAATGTTTGGAATTGAACTTTTTTGACAGTGTAGACTTTTTGTTTTATATATATATATATATGGACAGGTGATGATGAGATGATGATGGGATGGCAGACTTTGGATAAGTCGTTCTTAGTAGCTTTGGCACACATCTTGATATATTTTGTTAGCTTTCATGCTAAATTAATTACCTTTTAAGTGCATCATCCCAAGCTTAATAAGTCTAATTTTTTTTTTTAATTTGAAACTTAATCTAAATGGTCCATTCCCCTCTCTTAAGACATGAATTCTTGCAACATTAAGATTCGATCACCATCGATATTTACAATTTTATTTCAGCTATCTTTAAATTTCGATCTTCTTTTATATATATATATATATATATATATATAAATAAAATCTCTCCTCCAAATAAAAATTCATTTTGCCATTAATTCTAACTCCATGTTATTAGAAGGTTTCTAATAGTTTTTCCACTTTCAATTAGACCCATTTTGTCATTCTTTTCCATTGTGCTTGGAATACAGCAAAGAAGAACTGGTTACTAATTAACTTGAGCTAATTACTTTCATTGAAAAACAAGCATGTACATGTTTTCTTTTATTTCCTTTTAGGGAACTCCAATTCTTTAAATTTTCAAAACCGAACCCTTTATTTAGGGATAAAAGACAAGTTAAGAAACCAGGCAAAAAAATAAATAAAAAATTCTTTTGAATTTTATTAGTACAATAATAAAGCAGAAAGACATAACTGCGAAGTGCAAATTAAATACAAGAATTTATGACCAACTAACTGCCTCATCAGCGCATGCACGGCCACAACAAATGCACATTATCTAAAAATGGAAAGCCCACTGCCCTCCGAAGGCTTCCTTTTTTTTTTTTTGGAATAATCAAATTGCCATTTTCAGTTTTCTATTCTTACACTCACCCTTAGCACAATCTATTTCTTTTCTAACAGTTTGTGCCGAGTTGTCTTGGAGGAGTAAAATCCTAAAAACACGAGAAAAAAAAATAGTTAACAACAAAGGCCTAGGTAGTTTATGCGATTCTGTTTTCACGCTCAAGTTAAAAATTGATTTTAAGAAAAAAAAAAAGAAATTATAAAAAAGTTTTTGAAAGTAAAATCCTTTGAAAGTTATTTGGATAATGTTATTTATACTTATGAAATGAGAGATTTGAGATAACTTAAATTATTATCAGCCTTAGGGTTTTACGAGTAATTTAATAAATTTGAGTTGAGTTGACGGTTAATTATCTATTCAGATATGTTAATTGACAAGTCAACATTTTAAAAAATTTAAAATAAAAACAGTTGAGGTGATCAAGTTGATGTGGATCAATGAATTTAAATAAATCAGACACGTCAATTCGATCAAAATGATTAAAATATGCTCGGTTGATAATTGATTTATACTTATGAAAAAAAAAATTCATTTTATCTAAAAATACCCTTGACAGTTAGGATGTCCCTTAGCTACTTCGGTAGGGTAAATTTTCAACCAACTTGAATTCCATCTTTAACAAGAACCCGATAAATTTGCTTGCTCTTCAAATTTCATCTAAAGTTTTTCGGTTCTGATCACATATAAAAGAAAAAAGAAATGGATCTTGCAACATTCTCAAGAAATTCTTTGATTTCTTTCAATGATTGTTCATTCGCTTCTAACGTTTCAATAAAGAGCTGAAACATTAAGAAATATCCGTAAAGATATTTAGGAAATTGTATGTGATTATATCTTCATTCATTTTGTTTGAAGAAAGAAAAGATTCTAAAAATCGATATTTCTTTTAGTTATTGAATCTTTCTTTGATTGATCAATGTATGATATTCCTAATCCATGTTATTAATAGAATCAAAAGGATTGATCAGAAAATCTTTTCAATTGGCTAAAATTCATTATTGGAATAAAATTAGATCTCGTGGCTTCATATTGAATATCTAATGGTATAATTCGTTCCTTGTCAAATAAATCCGCTTTAACCTATGATTTAAGGGTGCATAACAAGAAGTAACTCTCTTCCTTCTCATAAACTTCACTCTCTGGTTCAAGGATTCAAACCTGAAAAGGAAATTGAACATTAAATTACTTAATGCCAATAACTGGCTTATAAGTTATAATGTTCATTGGAAAGGAGTAAGAGTAGATTATGCATTAGTTATTGTTCCATGAGAAAGACATTCCATAACTTAAAAGAGATCTGGGAAAGTGAAGTAACAAGAAAAGATCTAGGTGTCCAAAACAAAACTAATGTAAAACTTGTTTTTGGAGTTTTGCACTTGTGTTTGAATCAATTTACGAGAAAGATTAAGATGGCTGCAACTATTTTAGAGAGGTTGATGCTTTCTGCTAATTCACAATGTGAAAAGGATATAGGCATTAATTATTCATTAATGCTATGGCCTTGTCGCCAACTTTGCACTGATGAAGAATTGTATACAAGTCACTGCCATTAGTGACCTCTTCTTTCCATTAACAGATGTTTATTATATCAAGCTTTGTTGGTTGCAGACCCCTATAATATATTAAATCTTCAACACAACATTGAAACATAATGATCATGGAGTATATGACTTCAGATATGAACATCAATTATACATGAAAGCTTGATGCAGGAGCATCTAAGACAAGCACACCGGCCACTTACTCCCAGCTGTTTCACAGATTGATCTAGAGCAAATTTAATCCCTAAAATAGATCTTGTCACCTTCCCAAACTTCACCAGCTGATCAACACTGCCACTTACCTGGATATGTCAGAATGACTTGATGAATTATTAACAAGGAAAGAAAAAGAAACAGATAAATTCTTGCATTTCAATCCTAAAACAACGCAAAAACCTCATCAAAGTGAAGTACAAAGATCTACATAATACTCACTGTGTCAAGTGGAATTGAAAATCCAACACCAGAAGATGCACCAGAAGGAGAATATATAGGTTTCCTGAGCTATCTAGGAGTGGCCTTCCACTATTGCCAGGATTGATATTAGCATCTGTCTGTATAACATCTTGAATTGGGCGACCGGTGGCAGCATAACTAATCTCTCTGCGAAGCCCACTATGGATATTATATAAAAGAAACATTAGCAAAATCTTATTTCATATACCAACCAGAAAGAGTAGGAGGACATTTAAATATGATATATGAACAAATGCATGTTATTGAACACAAATACTTGGGTTTTGGTACCTGATAACGCCAGTTGTAAAAATATGATCAAGTCCAAATTACAAAAACATAAAAAAACAACAACAAACAGCAAACTAAACCTCATATCCCATAACTCAGGACCATTGTATGAAAAGCCAAAAGAAAAATAATCATATTAAGTCGTAGTTTTGATACAAAAACATAGACAGATCAAAAATTAGGAAATCCGGTCAAACAAGCTATCAAAGAGCCCCAATGGTAGTGGTAAAGCACATTATCAATGAAGTCTTGATCAGGCACTTACAAGCCACATTACTAGATGATGGCTATCTTTTTAGTAATCAAATTCATACAAGTGCTAGGCTTTAATTTACTTACACATATCGAAAAGCAACTTTTCTTTCTGTGCCAATCCTTTTAAGCATCATGAGAAATGCGTTCGGAGAGAAGATAGATAAACGACAATAAATTTAAATCTGTTCTATATGGTTATACTCAATGTAATGGAGAAACTGACTGTTCCTTCCCCAGCCAATGAGAAAATAATTGTATTTTCTAAAATTAAATAGATAACTATGTCCATATGTGGAGATCACCGCAGGCACAGGTCTAGGCATAGTCTTGTATTGGTGACCTGACTTTTCTCATAAACATATATCAAAGTAGTACATTAATTGTTGGAAAAACAAAAGCAATGGAACGGTTTATGGTAATCCTTGCAATCATCCATCAAGGCACAGTAGCAGGGATAGTACACATTATTCTCAGGCAGCCATATGTGGGTTGCAGATCGCATTCACGATGGCTTTTTCTCTGATCCACCTTTTCCAATTCAAGATGCTTGTTATCATCCAAGAAACAGATGATGATTAAAGAAAAATACAAATGATGGTATGTTTGCTGGTAAAATTTAAAGTGAAACACTTCAATCATAAGAGTGATTGTAGTTTCCCTCTGGCGGATGGCTTCTCATAGACCTTCCTTGTACACAACTGATTTTTTACCAAACTAATCTCTTCTGGCGAAACCGCGAAAAGCCTAGGCCAATGGAACAGTTTGATGCTGATCCATGTGACATTCAATACAGGCAGTCAGGCATGCACACACACTCAGCCAACTAACTAATCTGCTGCAAATTGCCTTCTCTGACCTACCAGTTTTAAGTGAGGAGAGAAGTCATTTTCTCATATTTTGATGCTTTTGACACATTAGCTTATAGATTAGGTAAAATACTTTATATGGTAAAATGTAGTTAGATTTAGGCTTTTGATTCCTTTGTAAGCATGTTCACTTTAACTGTCTGATTGAGGAATTTTTTTATTTACTTGATATTCCAAAAAAAACAGAAGAAAAAAAAATCTCTAATTTATCAGTTTGGCATTGGAAGCAAATGGGGAACTTTGTCCATTTCAGGTTGGTCCTTTATACAGCTTATGTCCTGGTTTCTTTGCTGTTGTGCAACAATCTACCTTGATTACTTATAATGAAGGGAAAACCAAGGATGCTCTTAAATGTCTTTCAACTTTAGCAGAATAGTTAATTCTTTCACTTTCAGCCTATAAACTAGAAACAGCATTTATAGCACAGCCAACTACAGCCACAAAGGTTTTGAAGTCTTGGAAGGTAAGTTCTTTTGTCAATTGGTGTTCCAAATCAAGAAATTTCTAGCAACAAAGCAGTTACCAACAATGAGGTAATGTGACCATTGGAAAACACAACAATCAACTAATATATATATATATATATATATATACACACACACACTTCCAAATTACTAAATTTTGATTTAGTGGCAAGGGGTTCCTGGGCTTTACTCAATACATCCCCTCTCAGAGCCAGTTTAAGTAGGCTTATTTACTATTGGCTTACGAATTCATGGGAAA